AACTCTTTGGGAGTTTTAGGAGTAGGATAATCTTGAATAATCTTCACATGATCGTTGGGTGGGCTTATGCCGGCAGCAGATATTTCATGTCCCAAATATTTACACTTTTGTTGAGCAAAAGCACATTTTTTCGGGTTAAGTCTTAAGCCAGCTGTACGTAATCGATCAAAAACAGCTTTTATATCCTTGATATGTTGATCGAATGTTGAGCTATAAATAAGGATATCATCAAGGTAGCATAACACAGAATTAAATGTCAAACCGTGTAAAATTTTGTCCATCATAAGCTGAAAAGAATTTGGTGAGGTTTTGAGGCCCATAGGAAGACGTAAAAATTTATACGTTCCAAAGCAAGTTGAAAATGCTGTATAATTAGTGGACTCTTCAGACAATGGCATTTGAAAAAATCCACTACTTAGGTCAATAGATGTTATATAATTAGGTGTTGTAGTAGTAAATGATTCTGTTAGCTCTTGCAAATCTGGGATAGTATAGTTGAAATCTTGTGTCTGAGAGTTGAGGTAACGAAAGTCAACACAAAAACGATATTGTGATAAACTAGCTTCTTTTGAACCAATAGGGTATTCAGATTTATCAACATTTCGCTTCGAAACCAATACTATAGGACTGGTTATAGGTAGATGATCGGTATTACTAACTTGACATATAATACCCTGCTTGACAAGCTCAGCTAATTGATGGCGTAATACTTCCTTCTTATCAGGTGGTAAGCGATAAGGTCGCTGATGTTTTGGTTTTGCATCAGGGTTCAAATGGATCTGATGTTCAACAATTGAGGTAAGTCCTAAATCAGAATTTTCTGAAGTAATGAAAATATCTTGATATGAGTACAAACAATCCATCAAGACAGGTAATTCAGCCGGGCTGACTGTGGTATTGGAAAAGTTGAGACTGTCAAAAAAATTGGGATGTGAATCATTAATATTATTAACAAAAGGTGGTGTGTTATTTGTTGATTCATGAACATGAGGTGAAGCAGTATCAGTACTAGAAAGAATAGGTGTGACTTTGGAGGAGTCATCGAATATGTTAAAGTCAGCTAATGCACATCCTTTAAAAAGGGTTATGGGGTGACTGGTTAAGTTGAGTACTTTGAGAGGAACTGTTCGATTTGACGACACTAGGCACACACTTCGAGATCCTAAAACATTCTTTCGGGACAATTGCTGATGAGGAGTACACATGCCTTGAATACCATACGACAAATGTTGTGGCACTTTGCCCCAAATAACAGTTTCTGTATTGCTTGGTAAAACAAGAGTTTTGGCACATTTCACTTTATATGAGTTGGATTGACTGGAAAGAGCACCAAAATCTAATTTAATTCTAGCCGAAACCATAAATGTAGTACCTAATATGATTGGTTGTGACAAAGTTTCTAACACATAAAATAAAATGTTTCTGTGAAAACCACAGTTTGATGAAAATGTTAAATAAGTACTTCCAAGTACTTTTACCTGTTGATCATTGGCTAATGTAAGTTGATGAGTATCGGTTGTAGTAAGTGTAGATTTACTGGTAACTGGTAACTTGGTGAATAGATGAGAAGAAATAATATTGACAGAACAGCCCGAGTCCAACAATCCAGCTATGGTCACTGGGAGGCCTAGAGTTTTAAATTTCAGTGGTAGATATTTAAAATGGTTTACTTGGGGAGCACTGGAGCTTGAAGCTGTAGATTGGCAGAGCTCAAGGGGTTGTGCTCTAGAGCCCTTGAGCGGAACAAGTTTCCCGGCTGCTTTTGAAGTTTACAACAATTAGCGGAATGACCGAATTGTTGACACGTAGAACAGCGAAGATCCGGGCGGATTGATCCATTATGTGTCCAGTTACAGTTGTGGGCAAAATGGCCAACACCATGACAAGTATAACAAACTTTAGATGATGGTGGGTAAGTATTGGTTGGTTGCTGTACATTGGTATAATGCGTTGGGTGTTGGATTTGGTGAGGGCCTTGAAATGGCTGAGAACGTTGTATGAGATTTGTCAAATCATTAATTTGTTGTTGTAAAAACTGATAACTGTTACCGGTACTGGTGGGAGGTGGCTGAGAAAAATCAGGAATTGGTATGTGAGGCGGTATGACGTTTGGTTGAATATGGCCTGGTGGCAGCTGAGAATTGGCAAAACTGTCCCGGTAGCCATAGGCTTCACCCATCTTAGCAGCATTGTAGGCATGTTCAAGTGTTGTAGGTGTTCCGGCTCTTACAAAAAAAGCTAATTTAGGAGGTAAGCCCGATATAAACTTTGACATAAGTTCTTGATCATTCTTGTGTAAATTGGCTGACTTCTCAATCAAAAAACTTTGGTATTGATCTATTGACTGGTTGGCTAGTAAATAAAAAGGCTGGTGGAAAACTATGGAATCGGCAAAATTGACCTGGGCTGTATATTTGGAAGTAAACACCTTCTCAAAAGACTGCCAAGAAAGTTTAAAAGCAGGAGGTAAATGTAAATACCAAATACGGGCTGGACCTCTCAGCTGTAAATGGAAAGCAGCAAGTTTCTGTCGATCTGTGAGTCCTTGAAGTAAACAAAACGAGTCAAACTCTTCTAAAAAATATGTTGGGTTTTCTTCACCGGAAAAGGTTGAAACCATACTGATGTCATGAAGTTTTGTTGGTAAGCTAGAGGGAATTGGTACTTGGTTATCAATGTGTTGAGTTGAGCGAACAGGAGTCAGTAATGGTGGCCCAGTTGTCAGCGGAGATGGTACTGGTGAAGTTGGATACATGGCAGGTGTCTGTTCAAAATCATTAATATACGAATAGTGGTACATCGATGTGGTCGACATATTTACACAGGTAGGGAATCAAGCAAACGATAGGCAGGTACTCAACAATGTTATAAACAGGATGACTTGATTGTTGGCCTTCAAAGGTAGGAAATGGCAACACCAAAAAACACGTGGTTTCATTGAGAAATTTATCATTCAACAGCAGTCAGCAACAAGTTTTAGCATCTCCACCATATTGTGTATTTGGGGGTGTAACACAATGGTGGTAGAACAAACAAGTTAATACACAAAATCATCTCCATTAATTGTATTCTGAGAACCACACAAAGACATAAGTTATTTACAGCAAAATCACAATCACATCTTATTCGAGCGCTTCAACGACACAGCAAGAAAAACAAACAACTCCTGACTCGAGAGTTATCTTTCCTCAACCTCGATTTCGTATTAATAAGGCCATACCACTTTAATAGGCCAACACATAATAAAATGTATGTGAATACATAACACGCCCACATTTTCATGTGGACGTATATTGTCGTCGCCCCTTTCGGACGTCCGTTCACAATTGTTTGTGGACACTCTACAGGTCACAATTTTTTATCTGATTTCAAGTTTTCGGTTCCTTTCGATATTGGCATGTATCGGATCATAACTTCATGGATTATGGCCCCTGATTGTATGAAAAATCGCGTTTTTAGCTTGTGGACCCTATAGAGCTCACAATATTTATCCGATTTTGTTGAAACTTGAAATGTAACTTTATAACCCAAAGATCTCGGCTCCTTTCGATATTCGCGCATATCGGACCGTAACTTCCTGAATTATGGCCCCTGAATGTACGTAAAATCACGTTTTAACTTGTGGACCCTATAGAGGTCATAATTTTTATCCGATTTAAAAAAAAAATCTTTTAGTATATCACCGTTACACCCTCAGAATGGTTGAGTTCGAATTTCGCGAAAATCGGCCCAAAACTGACAGGCAAAATGGCTGCCCCTCGTTCCCAAATAGCGCACAAATATGGTATATCAAGGTTGTGGACCCTCTAGAGGTCACAATTTTCTTCTGATTTTGATGAAACTTGAAATGTAAGTTTACCACCCGAAGATCTTGGTTCCTTTCGATATTCGCGCATACCGGATAGTAACTTCCTGAATTATGGCGCCTGATTGTACATAAATCGTGATTTTAGCTTGAGGTTCCTCTAGATGTCACAATTATTATCCGATTTCAGGCAATTATCGCCACTGACTGTACAAAAAATCCTGTTTGTTTTTAGCTTGGTCTCTATCCATCTCTTGCAAAATGTGGGCGTATCCTGCCTGGCAGCCGCTGGTTAATTGTATAATAATTTATAATATTAAAGGTACAAAAAAAACCAGATCGTTTAACGATGGTAAACTAATATAAAGACTGTTGTAATGTATGTTTACGCATTCAATTTAAAACACCTTTCATAAGTAGCGAATTGTGATTACCTTTTTGTCAAAGACCCATACGGGAACGACGTAAATTTAATGGAAAGCAAGTGGCCATGTTAGAATTGAGCGATTTAAATAATATTATACTAAATGTTTTTAATAAAAAGTACTTGTGCTTGTATATTTCACCTTTCGTCTTGAATATTGGGACTTTGATTGGTGTATTTTTATTTAATTATTTAAAGGTATTCCATACACTTCGATAATGATTAGAACTGGTTTTAGCAAAATTATTTACCCGTCTGTATTAAATAATTAATTAATCTCCTAATGATGATTTCTAATGCTTAAACCAACATCAATGTTGTAGTTACCAATTTTCTGCACACATGAGAACTATAGACACGAATCCCCTCCAACACAAAATAAAGGGGTCATAATTCGGAAATGGCGACAAAACAGGAGTGGAAACAATATGGATTTCAGTCCATCAAAATTAAATATCGACCGTCAAGTCTGCTTCGGAAAGGATTGATCTATGTGCAAGTACCGGGGACTGGAAACAAATTACATGTATGAGACTACAATTTCTGTAATGAAAGATTGGAATTTTCCCGTGTGTACTAAACTTAAATAAACAAATACTGAAACCACTGTTTCGTAGAAATCCAAGCTTGGCATTGCGTGCTTCTAAAGAATCGAATCTATATTTTAACAGTTTGTAACAATCGTTCTATACAAAACAAATGCTTGGCATTGATTGCTATATTTTGAAATTCGATTGGCGGAAATGAACATTCATCCAGTATGATCTCGTCGCGTGTACAAGTCAAGAAATGAAACTGTTCGGCATGAATATCTGTATTACTGTGCTTATATTTTTTGTTGTGGAAACCCTTTTTTGTATAGCGATTCTAGTTTGTCCGGATTATGTTTTTCAAAGGATTGAATTTAACAGCTATCTAGTATCCAATCCTGATACTACCTTTAACGGTGTATCGGTTAAAGAGTGTGGTGAAAAATGCGTGGGAAAAGCAGGCTGTGTTTCATTCTCTTATAAACCAGATATAAAAGATTGTTACTTATTTAAATCATGGATTTGGTCAGGAATGTCAGGGGTCAATAATGGAGGACTGGTTACATACTGGCGCCTAGCAGGTAAATATTTTACATTTAGCTTTGGCGATTTACGGCGGTCGGTAAGAAAGTAAGATTCGATTAGCAGTGACTTGAACATACAATACCTTTCGTGGCTGTTGGGAATGTTTTATTTCGATTTAAGATAGGTCATTACAGGTCCAACCAAGGAATTCAGTAGATCAGTGAATCGATGTATTCGCAGAAGGTGTAGGGTGAAATCCGTCGGTTTTCTTTAATGAACGTCTGTTGTTATAACAAGCCAATAAATGGTGTTAAGAGACTTTGTTTCTAAATTGTTACGAATGTTTGCGAATTTGGTAGAATTGATTGGCTTGTTGCCTACAGTTTGAAATGTGTTCACTCAATATATCATAATGGAAATTTAAAGGAAGCAATTAAATTGTCTATTAAACCATTGTCACCCCTATATAATTGAAAGATTTCGTTGCAAATTTAATCGTCTAATTAAACCAATCCCATCCCTATTTGACGGTGAGATTTCCAAACTACAAGAAGGTGAATGTCACCATTCGTTGCAAACTATGGCGCAGACCATAGCACCCAGAGAACGGCATAAGTACATCACAATCGAAGACCGATTGTTGGGCCTGAAAAGACAGCTCACGCAAGAAGTGTTGGGTGTGGTGAAATATGCAGATGCCGCTTCTTACCTTTAACACATGAACTAATACATGTGCAATATGTATTGTATATATTTATTTATAATGTACATCAAATAGTAGTCGATAAGTTGGTGATTCTAGGGTTACTTGCAATATGATCTGTTAGCCAAATGGAAAGTGATATCAAGTGTTTTATAAATAATAAGCACATTGGGTATGTTTGGTGTATACAGTTTTCACTGATATAACTGACGGGTGAATAAGATACGATCAGGGACATGAATTCGCGAACTATTTTCTTCTGCATATTTCATAATATCGGAACTGAAGTCTGTATTACAATAACTCCGTTTATCACGCAATAATACATTCTTAGGAGATATCGCTTTACATGAATTTGATTGGTCAGTTAAAAAGGAACTACTTTTTTTATTTTCAAAAAACAGTTCATTTTTTAGTAAAAGTAACTTCTTTTTTTTATTAAAAATGAACTATTTTTATTTAATTGACCTTGATGGAAACACTGGGTCAATATAAAGGACTTTGCAATAGTTGATTTGCTGTCAAAACATTATGTATCACTACGCCGTAATGGTATCGGGTTCAGTAAAAGTGAAATCTATAGCAAAGAATTATATTTATTTATTTGTGCATGTAAGAAAGGATTGGGGGATAAATAAAATCTCCTACTCGTCTTTTTTTATATCAAAAAATATCAACACAAGTCGATATTGTTGATATTTTTTTTATATCAAAAAAGACGAGTAGGAGATTCTCTATATATTCTGACTCAGACACCCCCAATATTTTATTAAGAAGAAACCGTCATAATCTTCATTCAACATCATCGAAAAGTACAAATGGCAACATATTCGTCTTTTCGATATAGGCAATATTCGATCGACTGAAGAAAATGATTTTTGAAATTTTGAACTCAAGATTATTAAATATAATTATGTTTGATAACGATAAGAGAATACTTGTCGAAAACTCATGCTTATCGAATAAAACCAGTGATTGTTTCCCATAAAGAATTATGTTCTGTTAGTATAGTCTATATAACTGTACTTTATTAAACATCACATTCTAAATACCAGAATTACACGATGCTATTTTTCAGAGGAATGTCCTTTCGACTATATCTACAATTCTACATATAATGTATGTTTTAAAGCCTATATTGGTGATACAGATAGAATGACGTGGACTGATTCTATGGGGCGCTGTAAAAATGATAATGGTTATCTGTATCTGGGAAATTCTCTTGAGAAGTTAAAAATGATGAAAGATTTATATGGTACAGCTACAGGTAAGCAGAGGCTAGCCAGCAGAATCTGTAACCACTAATATATCACCCATCTTGACCTTTCCAAACATTCGCCTAGTGTTTCCGTGCTTCTTGCAATGTAATGTTGTGAATAGAATCCCTTTATTTTGTTTATAAACGAAGCATGAAGTTTAGGTAACGGTGACCTTGTGAAATCAATAGACGATTGTAAAATTCAAATAGCCTAAACTTACTTTAGTATCGTTGCCTCTTGCCGTTATTTTTTTTTAAAAATAAAATCTTCAAATGGCCCTAAATTACCGTTTTCTCAAAATTACGACCACCGAAAAATCAAATTAGTGTCTCGCAAAGGTAAAAATACCAATTATATTTTGTAATATTTAACGCACAGATAGCAAAAGTGCATCTTGCGGGAATAAAAAATTATAATGTTGGATTATGTCAGGGGTTAGTTCTACTCCACTCTAGTATTTAGCAAGCTTAATATTATCATAAGTTAAGCTTGTTTCGATTTGTTTTTGTTTTTAAATGTTTGATTCTGGAACTTGAATTAACGTAATATATGTTCTTTCTCTAGTCGTAGATACTCGAGTGTTTGTTGGTGCGACTGATGCTGTTCATGAAAACGATTGGAAATGGCTAGATGGTTCAGCTATTGAATATTGGGGTGGTGGTGAACCTAATAACAAAAATGAAGAAGATTGCGCGGTATTGGATTTTTTAAAAGAACCGAGACACATGATATCGGATTTTAAATGTGGAGACACACAATTATCCATTTGTGAAATACCTGTTAGAAAAAACCCTTAAAGGAACTATGAATTTTTGGAGTTTGGATATATTGATGTTTTTCTTTTTGTTTTATGTTTTCGAATTTAATTTTATCTGAATTGGACTGAATATAAGCGCTATAGGCAAAATATATCTTACAAAATATTAACTAAATATCTTGATCCGTGATAATTGGGTCGGATGTTGCGTTAATTTCACTATGAATTATTTTTCAAAATCGATGTTTGGAAATTAACGGCTATCTGAAAAGAGAAACAAAACTGGTGAGAAAAATACTAGTTAAGTAGATACAATGGATGAATATCGAAAAATCGAGCCTTAGGGTGGGCCATAAACAAATACGAGAGCACGTGTTCTAAATGGATGGTGTTGCCGTGTGCCCCAGGAATTCAGTGTAAGCCGAGACCTTTCGCATTAGTAACAATCCAGAAACTGAGGATAATATCGTGAGACTAAAATTAGGACCGAATCTTGTCTGCGAGCGTTAACCGCTATCTTATAGTAGTAGGAGGGCTGAATACTTAAAGGGGCATTATGGGAGATTAAAAAAAAATTGACAGTTCGCGCTGAAAATTTCTGTCAAATTTGTTCCACTCTGAACCTAGATATTAGCGATTGAATTTAAGACATAGTCTCAATTATCATTACTAAAGTCAGTACGATAAAAAACAAAGTCTCGATTATCCATTTTGACGTTAAATCATCCATCACAAAATGTATTCAAATCCAATAAATATCGCAGGCGAGCCATGGCATCGAGAGTTCATTATGGTCTGGATAAGTTAATTAATGTCTAATTAATAATGTAGATAACATTTCAGGCCTAAAGAAAGACCCCTAGTAGGCAAATTTAACTCTTGTATAATATATGTTTAACTGACAAGTTGTTTGTCATTAAAAACAACTGACTTGCAACGTCACCAGGGCCTATACCAGAGTGGCAAATCCGCGTTTTGAAATTCTGAAATCCGTGCTTGAAAAAATGGTATGTATCCTTGTGAACTGGAGTGTGTACTTGAGTGTGCAATCACTGTGATCATCGATCACGTCGCTTTATTTGGTATCCAGTATCATGATGTAGTATCTTGCATGCAAATGTCTGAAAGGTTGACGAACCCCAAAATGCACCACCACACGCCAACTGACATACAATTATAAGTATAAATCTATGAATTCTATTTGATTACAGAAGTTGAAGTTTTTTTCCATTTTGGGGGAGGGAGGGATGTTCATTTGTTTTGGTCATGGCTAAATTCAGAAGGTCCCTTAGTGCATAGTATGCTATCAATATTTGCCCAAAGAGCAGGAAATCATGTTTTGGAAATTTGGAAATTATTTTGGAAACACAGGGGATGGAAACTCATTATAAATCCATATCTTCCGGAACCGTTCTTCGTCAATAAATCCCTAAAATAGGATCTGACGTTACCGTTTACGAAATGCACCGGTTATACTTTTCTAACACATATTTTCATCATATAGCAAGGGCCTCAACTAGAATGTGACCACATCAAACCGTTAAAGTCATACTATAAAATACCATTTATTTGCTCAACTGGAGCTTTATTGTAGGATGCTCAAAGTTTTATTATAAGTTTTAACTGTATATTTGCAACCTGCTTTCTTTCATTTGAATTATTTTTATACACAAAGTATTGTTATTTGTTTTTATTTATGTATATAAATAATTTTTTGTGATGCTCTTTAACTTGTCTCGTTCCGACCACCATATGTCTAACGCAATGGAGCGCAATTGGAGCTGATATGCCATAAAACTCAATTTCATTTCATATTCTAAAAGGTTTTAACATCTAATCAAATAACATTTAAATTTGGATATTGTTGTATATCAACATGAAAATAAAAAGTTTTCTAACTTTTAAAAATCATAGGTTGGTTGTGTTATTGTTTGTTTTTGCCATTATATTTGAAAGTTTAATTGCTAATGGTAATGTTTTATTTCTTCATAATACTAGCATTATTAACAGTCGATAAAGCCCATTACTCTAATATAAGCTTATAATGGTAGGTTGAATGGGTTAATTAATGAACTACTCTCTTAAGATTTTCATTATAATATACATTAAAGTAGCTAATGATCTTGCTTTTAATGGCGTTTATACCATAAAACCATTGTTCAATAAACACGTTCTTCACAATTTTGAAAACTTCCACATCAAGGATTAAATTCCATAACAAAAGCCTGAAAGAAAGCATTGTAGATACCATATAAGAAAAATTATTCAATTATTCTTCCATTTGTCGGTAATAACAGAAACAATCATTTATCTCAATTACGGTTTGTGTTATCAATCTATGGGGTCAGGTTGAATGGTCAATATAGGTATTACTTTTAGTTTCTTAGTGCATCTATGTTTCACGCTTGTAGTATATCAGATTAAGGGGTTTTGGTATGCAATTTTCTCCATTTCAAAAGAATCCCTTAGCATATGGTTGTTCTTACATGATCTAGTTGTATTGGGTATTCCAAATAATTCTCAAAATTAAATTCAAAAAGAAAATTAACATTTAAAACTGTTACCTCGTAAATCTGACATCAATTATACTAATATAATATATAATATACACTTTAAAAAAACGCACAGCCCATTTTTCATCTTTTGTTTTATTTGAACGGGATCGTTGTTTCTATAAATCTTACTTGTTTTTATGTCATTATATAAGGATAAAAGGATTATTGGTTTTAAATGTAGGTTTACTAATTGTTATTCAAGAGGACAGGCTTTCAAAATACCTGATATCGCGTTAGTATCGCAAATACAGCTTTGATCTGGGTCATACTCAAAATGTCAGATAGGCATTCTCAACAGTTTTGTCAACAGACTCTTTGGAACCAATATTTGGTTGTGATTTGCGACCAAGTAACAGTTGATACCGACCTCGAAAATCTGTTTCAATAAAAAAATAAACAGAAAATGGACAATCTTTGAACCAAATTTGGACGATCCTCTACTCGGACAATAATTAATTTGGACAGACCAGATTTTGTACATTCGTATGCCCACTCAGGTTCCTGCTACTCCCTGAGTTTGAAGTTTCTACTGTTAATGATACCTTGATATTGGCTGGATACCCAACACTAATAAATTTGAGATGCTATAGCTCGTTCATTGCAGGAACTAATACCATAACAATAGAACCAGGGCCATTGTTTCAGTGATGTTTGAAGTAGTTCATAATAATAGAGAAATCTTCAATAGTATTTCTGAGATATTTATTAGATTATTTTTCTCCAGATTTTCCACATCATTCCATCCCTTTACACCATTAACCCTACCATTAATAAAAGAGCTTCGGAAAGCTTTAGTTCTACGGAACAATTGCCGCATGCTTGAGTATATCATTCAATAACTTACAACAAGCCAACGGATAATGTAAACTTAGTCTAAGCAGAAAATGTTCACGATCGACTTAAGTTAAGGTTTTGAAGTACCTGGTAGTGAAACTCTATGCTAAGATTTACCACTCTCTGTAAGTTAGAATCAAAGTTATCTTGTCCCAAATCATTGGCAAATGAAATTGATTAGCTCTGCTTAGCTTTAGCGGAAAAGTTAATCACTGAACTCAGTCACAACATTCACCTAATGAACATCTACAACAAGTTTAAACATTCTACCTCAATTAAGAGCATTTAAATTGTTTTGTTCCAAAGTCTTGACAAATCAAATTGCTTATCGCTACATAGAATAAGCAGACAATTCTCTTCATCGAACTTAGTCAAATTATTGATATAATCAACTTGTACTCTGGGTTTCATTATTTTCTCCAAATTAGAATCAAAGTTATCGTGTTATCAAGGACCATGGATGTTGCACTGTTGATAATTATGTGCAATCTTAGTTCTAAAATCTCCATTTCGTTCATCTTCTCTAGATTATCCGAATGTATTCCAATTGATTGAACTGAGAGATTATTTAGTCAAGGGTAATGTAAAAACTTACTATGGTTTATCAGTAAAACAGTGTGGTGGAAATTGAAAACATTTTAGCTTTATGCAAGTATTAAAGCTGTATTCTTTTTATAATATTTTCGAATCCAAGGGATGACCTTCATCATATAGCTTGTTAAGATTAGACACCATATATGGATGAAAACGGAGAAATACAGCTTCATTAATTTGAATGCCTCTTTAGGAAACGTTTGATCATTTCAGAGGATTGTCCACCAGACTATACTTACAACGTAAAATATAACGTCTGCTTTAAAGCGTATATTAGAAGTACAGACAGGAAGTGGTGGGCAGCTGCCATGTTCCACTGCGAACAAGATGGTGGCAATCTGTATTTAGTAAACTCCCTTGAATAATTGAAGATAACAAATGATTTGTATCATACAGCTACTACAGTTAAGACTACACACATTATTAAACTATCGTTTAATTTAGTTTTTAAGTAATGACAAGCACTGTATACGAGATAGTGTATGCTTAATCGGGATGGGGTTGGGAATGGTCTAACGGTTGCGCTTTGGGAAATATGATACGTCATTGAGTCAAGTGGCTTGTTTACGATCCCACACGTGTACGTGACAAGGAGTAGGATAGTTCGCCTATCCTCGTTTATTTCTTACCACAGCTAAAGACCCACATGCAAATTATTGAAATAAAAGTATTGCACTTCTTCGTCACGAAATGACCATGTTTATGTTAAGTGGACGTTAAACCCCTCTCTCGCCCTCTCTCTCTCCATCTATCTTTCTCTCTTGCATTTTAGAACAATTTTATGCGCCGCTTCTTGCTGGTATAACCGATTTTATGTCCCAATGTCGACAAAGTAAGTCAAATAATGAAACTAAAATAGCAATATTTAATTTTGATCAAAATCAAAGCTGGTTTAACCAAATAATGATTTTTTCTTTTCTTTTTTTTTAAGAATATAGCAAACAAGAGATACGAGGTATTACCAGCCCATGAAATCAAAGCAAAATTAATTTTGACCGCTGAATTTAATTGCTATACTAAATTGACTTTGTATTTCAAAATAATCAATCTGGTCAGATTTTATTTAGAAGTCGTTAATTCCAGAGAATTTGTTGGTGTGACTGATATTGCGAGAGAAGGGGAATGGAAATCGGTTCGATTGGTCACCTATTGAATATTGGAGGACAGGAGAACCGAACCATCGAGGAAACGAAAATTGCGCTGCTTTGAATGTTTTTAGGCACCCGATTAGATTTTATTACATACTTCGAGAAGGTATTTGTTGAGTAATAAAACCTTCTAGTAGTTTATCGAGGGCTGGCCGTTCTTACCGCACGGTACAAATAAAACCTTCTAGTAGTTTATCGAGGTTCGGGTGCTTCCGGAGTACAAAATGGCCGCTTTATATAAATGAGCATTTTGGGGATAACTAACCCGAACCCTAACCCTAACCCTTTTTAAAAGACTGAACTTGGGTCTAATTTAGTTTTTACCTCTTAAAAGGGTTAGGGTTAGAGTTCGGGTTAGTATTCCCCTAAATACTCATTTGTATAAAGCGGCCATTTTGGTATGATTTCTGGCTTGTTCTGGAATTTGTTGCTTCTAGTGGTGATAATATTTGTACCGTGCGGTAAGGACGGCCAGCCCTCGATAAACTACTAGAAGGTTTTATTACTCAACAAATACCCTCTCGAAGTATGTAATAAAATCTAATAGGGTGTTTTAGGAGCATAGGAAAAAGTATAATAGATTATGTATCCTGTTCGACCTCTGTAAAATGGGCAATGATATAATACTGACAAAATAACTTTGATAATATTGGAATTGGGGATTGCGAGAGCCGAAGAGAGATATATCCTGTGGTTAAGTTCATTTATACATCTACTTGTTAAACCTATTAGAGACTCCTGTACTTATCAAGAGGTGATTGATGACGTGGCTAAGAAAGGGTATATTTACTCTTTCAAGAATACGTGATACCATCTAATTGAAGTCTTCACATAGCTGTTACCGTGTCATGGTGACCGTCATTTCAGCGAACAATGATGTATAAATAGTCGCTGTCATAATATAGTCTTCTTTTATTATATAGGTACAGTTTCGGGTATTTTTATTGTTGAATAAATGGCGTTAAATCTTCGAGATCTGGGTTGACGTTAGACAAATCCCAAGGTTTCAAAACGTTTACGAAACCGTATGAAAACATGACATCAAAGTCACTCCCCTTCAGTAAAATTCAATAACCGTGAAATATACTCTTCAAAAAATTAGGGGATATTGAAATGCAAATACCTATACAGGTTGCGATATGATAAATAGTCATGGACATTTGACATGCTTTGAGAGTATGTTCACAGATGAAAAACTTATCGCCCCAACAGAACCACTGCGAACTACACATGTAACACGCAATAGCGCCATACACGTGGGAAATGAAATGAAATGAAATGGGGTTTAACGTCCTAATGTTCTGGGCTAATGAAGACGGGCATGCGCCATACAGTGTGCAATGAGGGAAATTTTGCCCGGACAGTGGCACTACGGCCTACTCGTATATCGAATTCCAACTGTCAAGGGATCTTTAACGTGCACGCCAATGTGTACACGGGACCTCGGTTTTTCGTCCCTTCCGAACGACTAGATAGCTGTCCTTGTCAGACCCTCCGTCCCGCATCACTGACAAGGGGGAACCACGCCGGTAATTCTGGCTGAACTTTCTCGGCCAATGCAGGGATCGAACTTCCGACCTCCAGGCTAGCGAGCCAACGCCTTACCCACTTAGCCATCGTGATCCCCCATACACGTGGGAGAAGTTCATTGTCAAATTTGACACTTCAAGGGAGGGTTGATGAAAACTGCCGCGTGCTGGTTTATCTATCCATGTTTGCTTTCGTATCGGTTCTTGCATAAGATTTACTGTTTAGCGTATCTTTGCGTTAGTGTGCTACGTTTAATTTGATCGGGAGACGTGTTCGTCGACGTTAACGTCAACTGACAACACTTCAAAAATTGACCGTGGCACTGCCCCAAATCGTGATTGGACGGCTGATTAGGAGCATGCCACGACGAATTGCTGAATGTCTGAGAATTGGTGGAGAAATTACTCATTATTAAGACAAAAATCAAAAACGTCTATTTTTACTTTTGACGGTGTATCTCTTTGCGAGTGAAATGGGGCCGTCAGATAAGCCGCCCATATGAACTGTTTATGTTCATGTGTAGGCAATTGATCTGTTATTAACATACACTGGTTACCTCTAACAAAAACAGCAGTGCATTTCCGCAGTTTTGTATTGTTTCTGAATAGCCCCTACTTTTTTTGAAGAGTATATTTAATTTATGTACATTCGATGTATATGCCACCAAACAGGTCCCCTTTTAATTTACAGGGGTGGGGGGGTGGATGGCTGAATGGTTAGCGTGCGCGCGCTGTATCATAAAGTCTGTCATTGAGTCGACTGGCGTGGTTTCGAATCCCCGGTTGTACGTGGCAAGGAGTAGGGTCGCCTGTCCAACCTCGTGGGTTTTCTCCGGGTCCTCCGGTTCCCCCCACTGCTAAAGACCCGTACGTACACGCAAGCGAATTATTGAAATAAAATTAAACCATTTGTTAGTCCCGAAATGACCTAGTTTGTGTCGAGTGGACGTTAAACCCCATTTCCTTCTCTCTCTCTCTTTAATTTACACAATCAAAATTTAGGCAGACTTTTAATATTTTGTAAATATACCTAAATGACCGGAGAGACAGGTGAGCATGAGGTCATTTAAATCAGGTACAAAATGTAATTACGGGTGGTTCATAATATTTATAAATATCGAATTTTCTAAAAACAAGAAATACACTTTGTTATATTTAATTAAAAATCAATACATAGAACAAACCAGTGCAGGAAGTAAACAAGGTCAATAACCCTATAACTTATTTCCATGTTCACCCTGTTATTTTCTTCGTTGATTTTGCAATCGAAAGTAGGGTTTTTCGTATTGAGAATATAAGTAAATCATAATTTTAAGTCAATTATTCTAGTTGACAGGCTTCAAAAATACCGGATATCACGTCAGTGTCGCAAAGACAGCTTTGATTCTGGGTCACATCCAACATATCTGACACTGCTATGCAAGCATTCTCAACAGCTTTGTCAACAGCATCCTTTGAACCAGGGTTTGCTTGTGGTTTGCGGCCAAGTACCACTAACTGGGTATTAGCTTTGGAACAAAACTCCATACCGTTCTTACATTGGTAGAGTACAGCAAAGTTATCGTAATCCGTAGCAAGAATTTGGTGGAGGAAAAAATCAAAAACCCAGATTTTTCTGTCGGTGTTTTTGTCGATGGTAGCCATTGCGGGGTTCTTATAACAAAGACCATCTAACACACCTACAGCTGAAAAAATAAAAATTGATTTTTGTAAAATTCAAACTCCACCAACACTCTGGTGCAAAGACACTAATGGTAGGAAATATGATATTATATTTTATGTATATGTACTCAATATGTAATCTACAAAATATTTGGATTAGAAACACTTATTTCAAAATTGATGAAAACCCTATGTTTATATTCGCAACTTTAGGTATTGATCGAGTCAACACCATTATCTCAATTGACAACTAACTATAGATGGAGAAATTATTATTTTCATTCAAACATATTTCCCAATGCATATTCCAATTTATAGCAGAATTCATAAAAATCACTTCTAATGTTGACAAATTTTGAGCATTATAAAGAAGATGTATTTTAATTGTACTGCTTAAATGTGACTTTGATGGTATCACTTTTATTTGAGAGGAAATATAAATATGAAAAAAGGGGAGGACATAGTTATTAATTAATGGGTGTTTTCTTACCTCCTGTGAAAAATTTAGTTCTACGGAACAATTGCTACATTCTTAATATTTCGGGTATATACAATAATTTAAAACTAGACGCAACCTAATAGTGGTCGAAGACAGGAAGTCTTTTGGAAGTCGAGATTTATGAGATCACTTCCTGTGTATTCAAAACAGTCACGGTCTTACATAGATATCTGTTAGACCAATCTTATCATTATTATGATTTTAATATTTTGGTGTTATTAAATTTAGGCCTGTCTAATTGTCAATATTTAGCAGACGGTCCTTAGTTTACAGATAACGATTAATTTGTTCAATATTGGATTTTTTCATCCTTAAAATAATACACGGAATTGCAGTACGTACACTATAAACTTCACGAGATTGATGTTAATATGTGCATTCTGGGGCTGATCATGATTGATGATTGACACGCAAGCTCTGATCTATTATCAACCGTGTCTTTAATATCGTCATTTTGACTATAACCCACTACTATCCTGGCGTGTGGGAAACACATTTAAGGCCTGCACACACCAAAGATTTTTTGTCGGGCAAAACATTCAGGGTACATCACATCGATGTTTCGCGGCGATTATATCTATTACGAGAGTTCTATATTGCCGTTATCGAATGTTTATAAGCGTTGTCTCATATAATGAGTTGTTTAAACAAAGTTATCATATTATATAATGTCATTCATCAAAAGCTTAAAACAAATTATGGCTGTAGACATTCCCATAATACCCCACCAAAGTACATGCCGCCACCTATATATATTCGTTCATGCACTATTTTTTAACAATAGTGGATCAAAAGTGGCTGCCGGTCTTGATTTACGGCAAACATAGATATCCTGATAAATGGCACTAATTGCATTTGTTCCACATGGGCTGTTAAAACTTATGAAATCGATTCTAATACATGTATTTCCTTTTAAACCCTTACAAAGTCTTCTGTGTAATATTTTATTTCATTTAGTTAATGTTATATGTTCTATTGTTATCAGTTTATCTGGATGACATATACATCTATACGAAGTGGATTTATAAGTGTAGTTTTACACACTGTGAGCAATGACACTGATACAAATAACACCGGGGTCTTCCATTATCTGGAATGGATGGGTCGTTAATGGTTGGAAATAATTTAACAGACTATCAACTATGTAAAATCTGTTCGAAGTAATGGTAATGAGTACATATTTCGGCAGGTATACGGTATATCCATACTGATACGCTGGCCAACCTTTTTCAATTTAATGAACTGGTAAATCATTTCCATGAATTAGTTGAATTTGTATGAATTTAGTTGTCAGTTGATTTGTAACTTAAGACTACATATTCAAGATAAGGACACTTAGTGTGTTCGCTTGGGGAAGAGATGCATCAATTCAAAATGTAAACAAAAATAAATCATAAACAATCAGTCAAGCAAATGGTTTTATACACGGTAAAAGTAAAAAAAAAGACAAAATCAATGAAAAACTAATTAAAAATTCTTAATATTTTGAATTCGTCATGAAACAAAGCAGAAATTCTGTGGTACTTCATTTCCCATGATACCTTAATGGTTAATTCAGCCCTGATCTGAATACAAGTATAGTAAGGGGTTTTCATGACCATTAAATCCATGTTCATTAGTAAATTTCCTTAAATTAAATTGTATCAGGATCCATATATGTCACGTTAACTTTTGTAGTTTTAATCAATTCAAATGAGAAATTATATATGTTTGGAATAACTTATAGCACTTTTTAATAGCCATGGGGGTTTTCGCGCGTGCAAATAAACTTATTATTCTTGACATAAAATCTATGTATAATCTCCACGAAATTTTCTTATTACAAGTAAATTGGAAAACAAAAACGGTATCTCTTTTGTTTGTTTGTTGTTTTTTTTTTTGTTCTGTTTTTTTGTGTGATTTTTTTTTCTTTTACAGGTGCGTCAAGAAGTATGAAAGGCAAATGTTCAAAGTGACAGTTCCAGATTTTCGCTTAATGTGCTTAACAAATGAAATGAAGTGGGGTTTAACGTCCCCATCTACTCCGACTGGGCTGATGAAGACGGGGAATAATGAGTTTACGTAATTAATTGAAGAGCCTAAATGATAACTTTGATATATATATATATAAATAAAAAAAACATACAGGTACTTTGGGATAATGTGATATTTGCAGACTTACTATCGCCAACCACATAATGTATACCGGAGGTTTGTATGTCTTCGAAAAACTATTACAGAACTTCAGACAGTTATATGCCTGGGATGAATGTGGTTTCCACCCGGAATTAACTAATTTATTTCACGAAATAAACTATTTTAGAGAGAAGACTTCGATATTTCCCACTAACTGATGACATTTAATTGAAAACGAAAAAAATCTCAGGCGTTAGATAAACTCTTTCCCACTGATTGAAACGACCAAGATAAATTTATGTGACAGCAATTTGCTAAAATATATAGTTTTTATTCAAACATATTGATTTTTTATGGAATGACGTTTACGCTAAATAATGTTTAGTTTGATATTCACTCAACAATATGCCATTGTAAACAATAACTGTAAACAGGAAACAATTCTATTGATTACAATCAGTGTTTATTATATTGAACGTTGTTTCAATTGTGAGGTTTTGGTACTTTTACTTGATAAAGACTCAAGAATTCTAGTCTAAATGTACGTGTATCCAGTTCTTATTCTAAATGCCATTTAAGCAGTTTAATTCAATTTTCTTTTGTAAAATTACACGCAAATTACTATAAAGTTTGATGACGTTTTAAAAAGTAATTGTTATAATGATGAGAGCTTACCGTAAGTTATGTTCCAGTTGCCGTCATTCCTTAGGGTATACACGGTCTGTGCATTTTCCAACATAGGCGCTTTCCCTTGTCCAGTTCCATGATAGTACCAAGAGGTCACAAACCATTTTCCCTGGAACTTATCTTTGTCTAGATCTTCGTCGATATAAGATCGATCCATAGTACACTGAGCGTCAACATATACTGCCATAACTATCAGCAAATTGAATCCAATCATCGTCTTTAAATCCATTTTTTATGCTTTATTCAGCTTTATTACCAATTCCTAAAATGGAACATACAATATAATTTTATGAAGTAAAACATATATCGCATAAAACAATATATGTACGTCCTACCTTCAGCTGTAATATAAATAATATAATAAACAAAATACCTTTCTGAATACTTCCTGCCCAAGTGTTACCTACGGTTTAAACTTAATTTAACCCTAAAACAGAAATACATAACAGGAAGGCGTAAATGGATCAAAGTAAAAACCGTGGGCTTCGTTAGACTTTGATGAAATAGTATTGTTAAAATCTTAATTAGTAAAAAATTCAAAACACGTAACAACTGTTGAATTAAAAACTCCACGGTGCACCTCTCCTTAAATGTCGCCATATGTATCGACGCCCATGCCTTACGTGCAGAAATAAGTAAAATTCTTATTCAGATGCAGTATTTCAAAAGCTTTATATAAATTTTAGGTTAAAGAAAATAATACAGACGCAAGCTGAGGAGTCCAAAATATCTGTTCTTATTTTAAGGAAATAAAAAGATAGAAATACGTCTTTGATTTGTTTCAAAAATACAAATGTCTAATACATGCGCTGAAAAATTGCCTATACCCATGTGTTGTTCTCGCAGCTATATCTAATAAAATATTATCAGACTGACCAACAGTGGCGTACAGAGGTTTGGTGATTTCCGGTGCCATGTATAGGGTCTGGTACTGAGAGATGCAAATTTAAATGTTAAAATATATGAAATACACATTTCATTCAAATAAAATAGAGCAGCCTGTACAACCAAGTTAAAGGCCATAATTTAAAACTTGAAAAGAATGCCCGGATATTTATTTTTATTTTTTTATTTAAATATCCGAAATAGAACATCATATGTTCTCTGGCTTTCTCCGAAGGAAGCTACGTTTGAATTTGTTGGGGTCATCCTATTAGTGATATCAAAAGCAGGTAATAACTGCTGTAAATTCGAGCAGAATAATATATATGAATGATTATACATTTTGTTAAAAATCATTTACTTTATAACGATATTCAAATATTTATGAAAATTTGCGTTTTCCATCAGGATCGTGTAGGATTTTTGGACAAGGAACTGGGTGCCAAGCGCGATTCATCTTGTCTTCTTGCTGCTTCTTGAGGTTGACGCTCCTAAAAACACAAATTCAAATACGATCGACATGAAACTTGGAATGCTTATTCCTTCGACAACCCCGCGTCGATTGACGGTCTTAGATTTTTATCTTGTAATCTTATTGAAGCCATTGTAGTTTGTAATCTTATTCTAATTAATTATATCTAATAAAGAAACCTAAAAACATTGTTTTATTTTTCTTTTGTTTATTGTATCTGGTTTTCTATAAACAATTCTCTTTTCCTTTTACTCTTGTTCATTGTGTCTGCTTTTCTATGAACAATAAACAGGTAATGAATAATGTTTCCAAGGTGATCGAATATAAAAATAAAACACATAAATGGTCATTAAAATGTCGGCCCAACAGTCTCGATTTTTAGCTGGACAGAACATCTAATAAATAGCTTACAAATGTAAAAAACAAATGTTAGGAAAGCTGCTGACACCACTTTTTCTGACTATAACATGCCATTCTTGGACTCGGGACTTGGCTACAGCCGCCATCCTTCTTCTTGTTGTTCTGCTACTCTGGGCGACGCTCTTCGAAAAACACCCAAGGCTCCACGAAGTCAAGTGCGATATGGCCGTAAAACAGTTATTTTCGATTTGACCATATAGACAATAAGTTCATGATATCTTTAAGAAGGAAGCTTTGTAGGCACATTAACCTAATTAGACATTTCTCGGATTTAATCATTTTTGGAACAAATTTGACTTGGTTTATTGCAGAATTACCATATAAGTTGTTCTAAATCAAAATGTATTAGCTATACTAACTTTCCAAATATAAAAGAAGTGGTATCAAGTGTAATATTCAATAATAGAAATAAAAGAATAATAAATAATAATTCATACTAGATTCTCACCAACAGGGATTATTGTGTTGAGATAATCCACCGACCGACATCAGCTTCCAGTGTTAATATCTGTTATATGACGGGTAGCCTTAAATATCCCGGAATAAAACATCAAAGGCTAAAGCAATTGACAAAACATACAATGTTAGGGACTGGCTCATATTTTAACCATGTGTGAAGAATTTATCATGTTTCTATGTGCACCCACGAAAGACGTTTTGGTCGTTAAAGATCAATATTGAAGACTGTAATGGCAAAGAAATGAATAGACTTTAAACCTCGTCAACTCAGAATGGCCATTTTAAACCTAAAAAGAGTAACCGATAAAGTAGAATTCTAATTAGACGTATTTTAAGTCTAAATAGGGTTAGCGTTCGTTGTTTCTGGGTAATTCGAATATCGAACTGAGCTGTGTTCGCAAATATTTATTGCAGATGTTCTGCTCCTCTATACTTATTTTAAAACAACTCTGCATAAACAAAGATTGTGTTAAATAATATTATTGAGTCAATATTTCCAAACAAGAAGCTGGAACACAGAGCTTTCATATTTGATGTTGAAGTTTGTAAATATTATTTAATTGAAAAAAAAAAACCTTTTGAAAACATCCCGGAAACATCCACCCATCCATCTATGAATACATTGAATTGATTACTGAACGGATAAAACAGTTATATCTCGTAAACATATATAAATAATCGATTACAGACCATATAGAACAATAATATCAGATAAACAAATAAATAATTCATCGACGATTGACATTTGATTGTCTATAGTTCTTTTTAAGCCGAGTTCCAACTTGTCAGGGATAACGAGTGTCTAGTCTTTAGGTTGGGGCTAAAGGCTACTTCCCGGGCAATAAGTTTCTTCGTGGAATTACATGCGTTACTATGGAACATATACCATTATGATAGTATCAATATGGCAGAAGGACTGTTTTAAACCCCATTTCTTTTAATATTTCCTTTCTATATTAATTTACACAGGTCACAATTCTATGGAATACAATTAATGCTGAGCGACGTTTTGACTTGCCTCCTCTACTTTGCATGAAGTAATAAGCAGTAATTGTCTTTCATAGAATTGTGACCCGTGTATTCCCGTTCAATTACCGTATTAAATGCCATGAGAACAGTCTATATAACTTATCAATAATTCAGAAAGTAAAACCCCGTTAGAATCATCAATCAAATGAAGGATCAGTAGGTATGAGTGAAATCGCTGTGACTAACAAACTTTGAGCCTTTGATCCATAACCGTTAAAATCCAGATGTGACGTCATCCTTTGATGTTGGCGTACCATTATTTCAAATAATGGCACGGGCAATGTGCCAAGCATACATTATTTATACTAGTTGAAATATTGGACCCACGTGGCGTATTTCATTAAAATGCACGTGCTGGGTAGGTCTGTATTTTAAGTTCTCTAATGATCTCGTGCAAGACATTGCGTAATATACTCTTCAAAAAAGGTAGGGGCTATTCACAAACAATACAAAATTACGCAAATGCACTGCTGTTTTTATTAGAGGTAACCAGTGTATGTTAATAACAGGCCAATTGCCTACACATGAACATAAACAATTCATCTGGGCGGCTTATCTGACGGCCCCATTTCACTCGCAAGGAGATACACTGTCAAAAGTGAAAATGGACGTTTTTGATTTTTGTCTTAATAATGAGTAATTGCTCCACCAATCCTCAGACATTCAGCAATTCGTCAAAAGTGAAAATGAATGTTTTTGATTTTTGTCTTTATAATGTGTAAATGCTCCACCAATCCTCAGACATTCAGCATTTCGTCGTGGCATGCTCCTAATCAACCGTCCAATCACGATTTGGTGCAATCTGACCCACTCCTCTTGCAGTGCGACGGCCAATTATTGCAGTGTTGCCGGTTGACGTTGACGTCGACGAACACGTCTCACGATCAAATTAAACGTAACACACTAAAGCAAAGATACGCTAAACAGTAAATCTTATGCAAGAACCGATAGGAAAGCAAACATGGATAGGATAAATCAGCAAGCGGCAGTTTTCATCAACCCTTTCTTGAAGTGTCATATTTGACAATGAACCCCTCCCACGTGTATGGCGCTATTGCGTGTCGCACATGCAGCTCAATATCAATATCAATATATTACTTAAAGATACATTATGTAAGAACTAGCCATTCTTGCTATGATAGTTCGAAAGTAGATGATGTAAAATGAATAATTTGAAAAATTCATTCAAATTACTCTATTGCAAGCGAAGATATTAGCTTTTGAAGGTTTGACAGACGTGTGCAATAATTTCAACCAACGTACTGGTTGCTCGAAGCTAAGTCTCGGTCCTCCATATTTGATTAAATCAAAGTATCGCTGAACCATTCTAATCTATTTAATATCAGAGAAATCTGGTGCCATCGAGAGTTGATTAAGGCCTGGATCAGTTAATTAATGTCTAATTAATACTTTAGAAAACATTTTCAGGCCTAAAGAAAGACCTGCAATAGGCAGATTTAGCTCTTGCATAATACATGTTTAATGTCTCGCACTCAACCATTAAACTACAAAATTGTCTTTCGGTCGAATGTAATTTAATTAACTCGTTTCATTAAAATCACATAGCGTGTATTCTAAATATGTGTAAGTGTTAGGTTGCGCAGTTTAAACATCTTAATGCTTATTGTTGAACTTATCGATTGCATTTCTCCGTTCATCAAGTCCATAGATAAAATAAAAATCTAATTGGGATATTTAGTGCAATGGGATACTGAAGTCATATATGTCATAATATAACAGCAAGTCATATGTTTTCTCCATATAGACGTTGTTGGTCATACATTGGTGGGGGGTTGGATGGCCGAATGGTTAGCACGTGCGTGCTGTGTCATACGGCCTGTCATTGAGTCAACTGGCGTGGTTTCGAATCCCCGGTTGTACGTGACAAGGAGTTGGGTCGCCTTTCCAATCTCGTGGGTTTTCTCCGGGCCCTCCGGTTTCCTCCCACTGCTAAAGACCCCTACGCGCAAGCGAATTATTGAAATAAAATCAAACCATATGTTAGTCCCGAAATGACCTAGTTTGTGTCGAGTGGACGTTAAACCCCATTTCTCTCTCTCTCATACATTGGTATTGTTGTGGCCTTTAAAAAGTTACCGCGTCAGTGTATATTGGTAAATCTTATACATGTACATTTAGAGGAGGTTCAGAATTGGCGTTAACTTAATCAAGATGGCCATGAAACAAACCCTTGTGCCTATTGATGGCGTACATTCCAGTTTTTTTCAGTGTGCCAAAACCCAAAAACAAATTTGGTGTGTTACTAAACTCATTTGTATTGAAACATCGTGACTTGACTTCATTGTGTACTTAAAATCTAGGTGTTAATCCACGCCCATATAACTAACTCTGTTTGTTGAAAATAGTTGTGACATTGCGCGCCGTGATAATGGCCACAAACACTAATGTCTTCTGAAACTTATCAATTAGAAGCGATTAGTTAGATGTACAACTTGCAAGGATAATATAAAAATAAACCATTTATTTTGTGCCTAAATAAATTAATAACGGCGAATTATTAAAATTACATTTTGCCTGTATTTTTGCGCTTTGTTAGAAATTAAATGTAATGGGGGTTTAACGACCTACTTTCTGTTCCGACTGGACTAATGAAGACGGACATATGTTATGCAGTTCCCTATGAGGGAACTGTTGCCTGGACAGCGTGCGCTACGGTCTGCTCTTATTTCGAGTTCCTACTGTCAGGGTTTCTTTTTAAAAGGCCAATGAGTAATGCCTACACGAGACCTAAGGTTTTTGTCCCATCCAAACGATTATACGTTTTCCTTTGCCAGACCCTACGCCCTACATCACTGACAAAGCTGTGCTCGAGGAAGTGGGGGATCCTAACCCTTTTAAGAGGGGTAAAAGGTGAATTGGATCCAAGTTAAGTCTTCTAAAAGGGGTTAGGGTTAGTATTGTCCAAAATACTCATTTATATAAAGCGGCCACTGTGGACTCCGGACATTCCCGAACTTCCCCAACCGGAATACAATTAGAATCTCCCATCCTTTTTAAGTGAGTTAAAATCAAAATTTAACACACCACCACCCTCGCCCCACCCTAACAAAAAAGTCTTGTATATATTTTACATGTTTAACCCATTAGATTTGAAATTTCACGTTCTGATATGCTGTATCTATCTTAAAGATACATTATGGGAGATTAGATAAAGGGCTGATTGTTCTCGCTATAATAGTTTAAAAAAAACAACTAGATAATGTAAAGGAAATTTACTGAAAATTTCAGTCAAATTGATCCACCCTGAACCGAGTATTTAGCGATTGAATTTTGGGCCCAGTCTCGATCATCATTACTGAAGTTGATACGATAATAAACACAGTCTCGATTATCCACTTTGATTTAATCAGAAGCAGCAGACCACGTTCTAATCCAGTAAAGATCGCAGACTAGCGATGCATCGAGAGTTGATTATGGTCTGGATAAGTTAATAAATGTCTAATTAATAATTTAGATAACATTTCAGACCTAAAGAAAGACCTGGCAGATTTAGCTCTTGGATAATGTATCTTAAATGTCCCCTTCTTCATGTCAATACGAAAGCAGTATTTCAAACCAATAATTGTTGTCTACATTCTGATGTCAACATTTCATGCACATAACAAACATTTTAAACAAGGATTCTAAATATTCTAGACAAGGATGACCTTTCTGGATTGTCCAGCTGATTCTTTGGGATATTGAAATAATTGTGATTTAATAAGTTTTCTCGTCGTTTTAATTATTTTGTCATTAACATTCCATATTCTAAACATTAATTGACAAAGCATATGAATCGAGTTTCTATACAATATTTTCCTCATAGCGTGAAAATCTAGTTTAGATTTTGTATCCACTCGTTTAGTTTTGTTATCTCACAAACGCATAGTATATCAAAGGATGTACTTAAAACTAAACACTAAAGAGTTGACATAAACCGATATAAGCTACTTTTAAGCAACTTAAATATTAGTACTGCTATTATCGAGTTCAAATGTCTGTGTAACTGTCTTTTATAGGGCGTTTTATTTGTTTTTTCAGTACCTTTACCATTTCAATAATAATCTAAGTCTTGTAAATATTTATAAATTTAAGAATGTTTTTGTTTTTCTTTTGTTTTTTGGTCGGGCGGGGGTGGGGGGTGGTGGTGTTAACATTCACGGTTTATACTTAAAACTTTTGGCTATTTAAGTTTAATGGCACTCTATTCATATTTCAAAGCACGATTGTCCAACTTTATTGTATTGAATATGTGTGTACCTACTGCTGATTTATAATGTTAAAATGGCCAGACCTCTTTGTTTGGATCAAAATTAATTTTGTCGATTTCATAAGCTTTTATGTTTTGATTTGTTTTGTGGAATGACCGTCTATATTCGTTGAGAATTTGTAGGCTACATATATGACACTGGCCTGTGTCACGAATAACTAATGTTAAAGACTATCCTGGTCACAGGCTTTCAAATAGAAAATATGACACTACGCCGTGTCACTCATCATGCGACACAGCGTCACTAAATAGCGACTGTAAGACTATCCCATATCACAGCAGCATTTAAATATTTTGTACTTAACTTTGGACTTCACGCTGTGTACTTTTAAATAGACAATAACACTCTTGAACATTGCATTGCTCTAAAATCATGTTTATGCCATGAATTCTACATAATGCTTTTCTTTCAACCCGCTCGCCCACCGCGGCTGGTGCGAGAAACAACTTTAAAATTTTCCGTTGCGAAACTAACTGTGTAACAAACGAGGCTATTCAAAAGCACTACAAACGTTATCATTGGGTAATCGCCACATGTGAAATCTTTTTTTCATCCGTTGGACCACACAGCAGACAAACAAGATTGATTTTCAGCATCTTTTAATACATTTAATCAACTGCCCGAAGTTTTAGGAAATGTCCCAGATCAAAGAAACGGATTGTCATGGTAGTATTGTGTTTCAACAAACTAGATAAAATAGACTTCCAAAATAAATTCATTTCTTCACAAAAATGGATAAATATTATCAAATACTTAACAACAGTAATTAATGTTGGTACTAACATACACGTTTATCAGAGATTTAAGTCAAAGAACTTTCGTTCCAATAGTGAGTTTCAGCCACGGCCAAATTTACCGATGCCAGTATCGATGTTAGCTCCTGATGCATCCAAGCGTAAAATTTTATTTGATATCAGTACTACCAAACACTGTGATTATATTAAGGGATCACTCCTGTTAAGCGGTCAGTCATGAAAATTCCCTCAATTGGTTGCAGAATAGATTCTACTGTACTCAGGAGAGATTTGATTGAATGATAAAAATAGTCACACTTCGTCGAATACCCAGTTTTCGATCTCAGTACAACAATGGCTAGAGAAGGATCGGGTCATTGCATCAGGAATATGGCTGATAACAAATACACAAGATTAAACGATTGAAATATCCCAAAGGTTCAAGTCTGGGACCTTATAGTTGAGAGGCCAGAACGCTCTACTACCGCGGGCCTTATACAATTACATGTTATAAAGGACAGTCAGGTTTTATACACTCAATTAAATCAATAATAGTATAATGCCATAATGGATATGGTTTCTCTACAGGGGTTTCTGGCATCAATAATATGCTTTCTCAACGATTACAGTTAAAAATCATTTTATTAACAATATACAAAATTTATAACAAATCTTTAATAATCATGATAATTGGGTGATGAAGATGGAGATAACAAAGTGATGATTTGATTAAGATGGAGACCATGATGATGACATGTTGATTTTTCATGAACTATGATATTTTCAATGAGTCACTCTTGACCATTTAATGCTTATACATGTAGTGTTAATTCTCTTACAGATAAACATCTTCTTTAACAATATTTCTCGTACAGATAAGCCTCTTGTTTCTCAACTTGTTTTAACACCTGAACGTGCAAGCGAATTATTGAAATAGAATTGAACCATGTGTTGTTAGTCCCGAAGTGACCTAGTTTGTGTCGAGTGGACGTTAAAACATCATTTCTCTCTCTCTTTTAACACCTGGGCAATGTTGCAATCAAGTGGTCGCATGTGTACCAACCTTCAAATATAGATCATGTACCAAATGTGTAAGTGTTCCTAGCTACCTAGTTATTACAGAATGGTGATCTAAGCACAAAATTCCAGTGCTTCAATCGCAGTACACGGAGTACATAAAGTACTGCCTTTAAATTGGTCTCAGTCTAGTCCTTACATCCAATTTTCCAGCACAATTTCTAACCAGCACAATACATGGTCTGTTTTAAATAATGAATTAACCTTTTTCATGAAGCTACGAATGCACCACCAGCTAATAATAAATTTTTGCGAGTGAACTGCAGAGATAGAACTGGACTAGCTTTTGTATAATATGTCCCTAGTAGTAAGTTAGAGTTGTCTACCCTGAAAATAGAAATAAAATACTATTTGATACTGCATACGAGTGTAGAACGTTTTTTTGGTTTTATTTAAACCACAGAAGCGTGCACACCAATACAGTAATTCAAGGCAATTGACCCTTTTTCATTACAATTTTTTTATATATTTACTCAACGGATCAGCTTTTGTTCCATCCAAAGGATGCGACAACAAGTTCCACTGCAACTCCCAGCCAGACATGAAAGTACGATTCCGGTTTGAAAAATCAGATTTTTCTCGACTCATGCCAAGATTTGAACAGTTCCCTTACAAGTCGACAGCCTCCCAGTTCTTGTGAAATAAAATATTTTATTGTGTAAAATAATAACTTACACTTGTAATGTGCTTGGAATGCTGGCATCTACATCTGTATCCATTTCATCAATGACTCTATTCATATCCCAGGTTCTAACAGTATTATCTAAACCACCTATAAAATAACATAGGTTGAATGTAAGTTTAGATTATATGAAATGTTTTTTACTGTAAAATACAAAAACTTGAGAACCCAAGAAGCCCACATCACAATAAAGCTATCAAATTGAACGTGGGTTGGTCAGTTGACTTCATTATTTCAAAAAGAATAATAAGGCATCAATGTTAAACTTGCTTGATAAACTTGTATTCACATTTCAAATGGTTAATTTCTGCCAGTCATTGTCAGTCTGAGAGAAATCTAGTTATATCAATCAGTTAATTTGCATCTTAAATATTTAAGACAATTGTATGCAAGTGCCTGACCTGATGCTAAGACACCACCATCTCTACTGAAAGCTAAGGTATATACTGTATCTGTATGTCCTTTCATCTGTGATACTAGACTACCAGTAGATATATCCCAGAGATTTATAATCTGATCTACACCTAGAAAATATAAATATATTCACATTTTCTATTCTATAACCGGCAACAAAAAATATATAAATTTTAAAGATGCATTATGTAAGAGCTAAATCAACCTACTGCCGGTCTTTATTCTGGCTTCAAATATTATATGAATTTTTATTTAATCATTTATTAACATGACAAGCCCATAATCAAATCTCTGGGAAATAAGATGGATCTGATTAGGTAGATTAAATTTCTGCCATTTAAAAGTTTAATGAAAAAAAGATAATCGAGACTTGGTCTCTATTGTCAAGTACCATTGTTACAATAACAATCTACACTACAATTTGGTCAAACCTTCACTCAATTTCACACACAATAAAGTAATTTGACTGAGATTTAAAATATATTCATTTTTCATTATCTACTTTTGAACTATTACAGCGTCAACTCACCTCCTTATCTAATTCATAATTAAAGGACAATATTGGTGCCAGTCATTATCACATATGTGATAGAGCTGGTTAAACACATTCCAAATATAATTTTAACACCGAGATCAATGCTACGATAGCTGAGTAATACAGGTTTCCTGAATCGGAATATCCTCTCACAGTCTCACACAACAACTTTTGGTCTTGGAAGGAATTATTAGTGAGCAGAAATTCGGCCGTGTATCTGTTATCACTCGTCACATCAGTCAGTTATATAGAGGTATGACTCATGTTTCCTTTGGCATTCGTCACTTCCGATTCAGGAAACCTGTATTACTCAGCTATCGTAGCAATGATCTCTGTGTTAAAATCATATTTGGAACGTGTTTAATTAGTTCTATCACATATGTGATAATGACTGACACCAATATTGTCCTTTCATGTATCTTTAGTGAGAGAGAGAGAAATGGGGTTTAACGTCCACTCGACACAAACTAGGTCATTTCGGGACTAACACATGGTTCAATTTTATTTCAATATTTCGCTTGCGCGTAGGGGTCTTTAGCAGTGGGAGGAAACCGGAGGACCTGGAGAAAACCCACAAGGTTGGACAGGCGACCCGACTCCTTGTCACGTACAACCGGGGAATCAAAACCCCGCCATTTGACTCAATGACAGACCGTATGATACAGCGCAGCGCGCACGTGCTAACCATTCGGCCATCCAACCCCCCTTTATCTTAAGTAGATTTATTTGAGGAACTTAAAAATCAAGACAAATTTATAACAAATCTTACCTATTAAGAACAAATTCCAATAGCCTACTTCCTTCTATCGATAGCAGACTAGCGACCACAATAAGGAGAACAATTAAAGCCAGTTTCAATATGCAACCAAAAAGTTTTTAAAGATGTATAAAACTTTTTAATTTAAAATGAACATATAAAAACATTGTCAAATTTCATATTTTACGTACCAGAAGAAGCAAGATATTTTCCATCTGGTGAAATTCCTAAACAATGAACAGGGGACTGAAGAAAACAAAAAAAGAAATAATTTTAAGGACAGGTTGACAGGCAACAAGACATAAACCAGCCACCAGCTAATTCATCTGAGCTGATCATAAAGGTTAACACTAACAGAATAATTTTAAAAGAAATAATTTCTAGGTTATAAAAACTATTTTATACAGTATTTACAAGGGTTTGATGACATATAATAAATTTCATTTCTGCCCTCAAAACAGTTATACAATCCTAGCTGTCTAGTCTAAAGCTTACAAATTTAATGCAAATTATATACATGTACAACAGTTTGGTAGGAATCCTTCTCATAACAAGACAGACAATTCAGAACAACTAAAAAGGGGCAATTACACCACAAATAAAATTTAAGCACGAATAAGAAATTTTGTAAAGTTAAAAGACTAGTAACTTTGCACTTTTACATACCTTATGACCAGTAAAAATACGAACACAGCCACCATTTAATACATCCCATAATCGTACTGTTCTATCACTAGAACCAGTGGCTATATAATTAGAATTAGGATGAAACTGTAGACACTGAAACAATAAAACAATCATTAGCTATAGCTAGAATAAGGATGAAATGTAGACACTCAAAACAATCCAACAACCATTAGCTATAGCCAGAATAAGGATGAAATTGTAGACACTAAAACAATTAGATATAGCTAGATTTAGGATGAAACAGTAGACACTGAAACAATCCAACAACCATTAGCTATAGCTAGAATCAGGATGAAACTGTAGACACTGAAACAACAAAACAACCATTAGCTATGGTCCAAATTAGGATGAAACGGTAGACACTGAAACAATAAAACAACCATTAGCTATAGTCCAAATTAGGATGAAACAATAAAAGTAAATGTTTATACATTTAAGAATGCCAGAAGTTCTATATAGTATATACATGAAATTTACACATCATGAAATTAATGTGATCAGAATGGGGATGAAATAAATGCATACCAAAATTAAGTTTTCTTAGTTATCATGGGGGTATAAAGAAATCTCATGAAAATATACAATGTGAATAAATTTCAAGTCATCCTATAAATGAAATGAAATGGGGTTTAACGTCCTACTGTTCTGCTCCTATACTGGGCTAATGAAGACAGGCATATGCCATACAGTGTGCTATGAGGGAAATTTTGCCCGGGCAGCGGCACTATCGCCTACTCTTATATCGAATTCCAACTGCCAAGGGATCTTTTACGTGCATTCCAATGTATACACGGGACCTCGGTTTTTCGTTTCATTCGAAGGACTAGACAGCTGTCCTTGTCAGGCCCTCCGTTCTGCACCACTGACAAGGGGAAACCACGTCGGAAAATCCAGATGAACTTTCTTGGCCAATGCAGGGATCGAACACCCGACCTCCAGGCTAGCGAGCCAGCGTCTTAACCAACTAGCCACCGTGGCTCCGGTCATCCTATAACTTAAAGCGATAATTTCATATTTTCTTAGAAAGTAAAAACATAATTATTTCTATGTCTTTTGCTCAATAGGTTGTCAACTCACTATTATACGATTATAGGTATTATTCTCCCTCTTAAAAATCCTTTGACCCCGGAAAAAAAAATAACACAATTACCTCCCTTGTTTTTCTTTTCCCCCCATGTAATAGCTATCTTCAAACGTTTGAATTTAAAGTTGAAAATGATATTTTTACCAATTTCTCAACTGGCAATAGTGAATTATAGGATTATTCTGTAACAAGGTAGGACTGTTTATAGATACCATCTAATTTAAGGCTTTATTTTAATAAATTTTAAAAAATATAACTTAAAAATATGAAATTGCAGCTTTAAGCCTCAAGACCCAAAAAATTCAAAGTTTTCTTAGTTATCATGGGAGTATAAAGAAATCTCAAGATCAAAAAAATTCAAAGTGGTCAGTAATTATCTGAAATCGTTGAAAAATAAATTTAACTTTTAGAGCATCTACAAGCAATTGTGACTGGCCTGTGGATGGACAGAGATGGGCGACAACAATATAATGACAACATTCAATGTCAGTGTACAAAAACAGTCAGGTTCAGATTATTTTTGAGTATGCAAAGAATTAGCTATACGAGTGCAACACATAACAACTTCATCTATTCTAATGGTTATTATATATAGGAATTTAACCACTTACCAAGGAGAACTTGCTTTTCAGCTAACAACCTTTTCTACTATTATATTTATACTTACATCAACATCCGATAAATGTCCAGCAAATATTCTCATTGGTTGATAATGATCTGTTGACCACAGTCTAGCTGTTCTGTCATGTCCAGCTGATGCAAAATAGTGACCATGTGGACTGGAAAAAAAACCATAATTATATTTCTTCTTGTTAGATTATTTCACGTAGACAAAGAAGAAGAACCTGGATTTTTTAAGTAGGTAGTCACTTGTCAGGGGCTACAGATGCAAGGCTGATATTGAAAATATCTGAATGTATACACATTGGCATGCATTAATAAGACCCAGGAAATTTAGAAATGAAAAGAAGAGTTTGTGAAGCGCCGGGGTCCAGGCAAAATTCGCGTCGTCTCTTTGCACACACAAGTCCGCCTAAACAAATGGTATGTATCACAGACAGTTGCCTGATATGTAGTACATGTAATTTTTTAAGTCACACTTTACAATAAAACTCAATTCATATCTTCAGAATTCATTTTACATAGGTAAAGGTCCAGTTAATTATCAAAAGATACTACCTATTAAATCAGTGTAAATTTCTTGATGTGCTAAAAGAGGGTTATCTCCCTTGGAGTATTTGGTCCAGTGAGGAATAAAATGTAGTTATGTCATTGTAATACTGGTCTTTGATACCAAGTTTAAACAGGTATTGTAATCTTAATAAATAGGTTTGAGATTTTTCATTTAACAGTGGCCTGTAAATCATGAATGTATCTATTATGATTCATACCTGAATTTAACATCCCAGACAGGATAATTATGTCCCTTAAAACACACCAAATTACTCCATGTTTGTAAACTCCATAACCGAACTGAAACAAACAAATTCATATTTCAAATATAAAATATCAATATTACGGTAATATAAATAGGAATGCTTTTCTACCCAAGAATTCAAATTATATGACATTAGGAAGCCACAGTATCTCCGTGAGAAAGGTGCAGGCTCACTAACCAGGTGTTGGGTTAATATTTCATTTCATTTATATCATATTACAAAGCCTTTTCATTCTTTGTATTCTCATTCAAGATATACATGTACATCAGTGATGGGATTTCGCCTGTATATTCCGGACATGTCCAACGCTATTTTCCGAACGTCCAAAATTGTCCGACCAGGAATATGCCCAATCGGACATCAAGATATGTACATGTATAGACAATACTAGTTCTACTTCATTTGCTACACATTACAAAACATTCAGTTTCATCTTTAGATGTAAATAAAACAAACAACAAAACTTACATAAATAAAACTACAAAACCTAGTATTGCAAACAACTCACTAGTTCCATCTTCTGAAGAAGAAATCATACTGGTTCGATCTGAACTAAAACATGTTGAGTAGACTGGACCACTATGACCAGACAGACGTTTAAATTCCCCACCAGTTTTGTCATCCATCATTCTTTCTAAGACATCATCTATAAATCATGTTGTAATATAATTATGTTATCTGTTGAATTTTAGACTGAATGGTTGAATTTTAGACTGAATGACCAAAGTGTGAAATGGACCAGGCAGATGAGAAAAGTGGTTATGAAGGGCCAGGAGTAAAGTACTGAACTGGGTTATTTCATAAGGTGCTAGCTCTGATTCTTTATGACGGCTGTGATATTATGAGGGTAGTCATCATTCAGTACAATCAAAGAAGTGTATATTGAAGGAGCTTTCTTAGTGTATTCACCTAAAGTTATAAAGTTTACACAGTATGATAAGAAGTTATTTTAACATTACATGTAGCTAATGGTTTTGTTTATAAACAGTGAGTGACAGTTATCCTGATGATGTTAATGAGTAGTAACAAACAAAATGTTTACTGTGTAAACTTCAAGAGTAACAAACAATAACAGGTCATGTGTTTACGACGTTAAGATAGCAAACACCTTCAACTGCTTCATACAACATTTCAATTTGTGCTAAGGTCATTAATGAGAAGTAACTGTTGGGTGCTTGATTGTCAATTCGGAACTTGTGCTGTAACATAATTTTCAACCTGCTGTCAGTTTTGCGTTTTTGCATACAAGTATTCCAATTTACTCAAAGAGGAAAACTAATAAAAACTACTCTCTAAATGCCTGCTCTATGCCTAATCTTTATAAATTGTAATTTTTAAAGGTAAATTAACTTACCTGCATCTTTATCAATTAATTCTAATTCAAGACCAGTTTTAACAGATCGTAATTTACCAGGTACTATACTGTGAACACGTATTGCTGAATCAGCAAAGCCTGCACTAATTAAACTAGCGTCTTCTGATATATCTATACACGTTACCCTATATAATATAAATAACACTAATCATTCTGTACTCAGTAAAAAAATCTACATATTTCTTTAGATAATCAAAGCTTGGTTTAAAGGTAAAACACAAATGTTAACCAGCTGGCAGAAACAGTTATATATAAAATATAACATGTACATAAACACAGTATATAATTCCAAGTCAATCTGGTGAGTCCACAAAATTTTTCAAAATAAGGAAGGGCAATAACTCTAAGTAATTATCAGAAATCTTTTAAATTTCAAGTCAATTTGATGATAAATTTAGCCTCTAGACTTATGTAGTTATATTTTGTTTTGAGTGTAACCGCTTTATTAAATGGTTGCTGTACTAATAATCATGAATATTTTGGAGTAGGAGGAGATACTAGATCGACCATTCCAGGACTGAGCTCTCTCAATCCCACAAATAATGTCAATTTACTTAACACTAGAATAATTCTAGACACCTAGGCATTTGATTACAACATGATTCCACTCAGACATGAATAATGGGGACAGGCAGAACTACATGTCAAAATGTAAATCAACAGCAATCCCGTTAATTCTGAATGTTCTGGACCGAAAATCAAGCACCCCTTACAAACGACACACCAAGGGAAGTAACTCTAGCTTTGGGGCAGTTTAGAAGACAACTTTTCCAGATTAGCAAACAGACCATCATCAATTAAGGCATTCAGTACAGTATTTTAATGAATATTGTTGATCATGTTTTTTAGTGGTTAATAATATAAAACTATTCAATATAATCAACTTACCCATGAGCTGAATTAAGGAAAGTGTAAAAACAAATGGAAGGTGGATGATCTTTATCTACTTTCACTTTCTTTGAACTTTCTCTTAACATATTTATTTTCTCTATTTTATCCATATCTTTACTGTAATTGTAATAAAAGAATAATTAACATTATAAAAATTATAGTCTCTTCACTTCCATAATAGATAGATTCTCTCTGATTGGCATCTGGACAATCCTAGTGGAGTTTTAAATTTTTTCTACCTTCCATGTTCAAGACTTTGTAGCTCAATCTCAACCATGAGATATGAATCAGTATCAAAATATTCGTACCTGTTTCACTTTGTAGAAAATATGTATAAAATAAAATGACCTAGTTCAAACTAAACAAATTCCTTTGAAGTGTACTTACATTTCAGGAAGCGGAATCCTAGATATGACTGGTGCATTTGGGTCATTTTTAGATTTCTTCATTAATAATGGATCTTTCTTTGATTTCTTTTTCTAAAATTAAAATTAGAAAAGTTCACATCATTCAGAACTAACAAAAAAAAATCGGCCTACTCCATAATTTCTCTCCAATGTCTAGTAATCTTCACTAAAAATAGATTTAATTGAAAGGTTTCAAGGTTTATTGAAATATGATGGGTTACCTTAGGTTTATCTGAGCTATCTCCTTCACCAGGATCTTCTTCTTCTTCTAAAGGTACATTTATATCTGGTTCCTTCAACAGGCCATAAAATACCTTCGCCTTATTAGCTGCATTAAAATATGTCCACAAATACACATTAAATTGTATTAAAGAGTTACTTTCATGAATCAGATTATGTAATTTTTGAGTGAGTTATTAAGGTAGAACAATGTTAAAATTCAAAACTGATTTAAGGTCGTTGCCATGTCTAACCTATGATAACTTCGCAATTAATTATATATTATTTTTCAAACTCTGCTCCACATAAATTTGGTACGATCTTTAAATAGACATCTGAAGCTGCGATTCAAGTCATAATTTGGGCACATATCTCTTGCGGTTTTAAAGATATTAAATTTTGAAATCAGCTTAAAAATGATCTGATCTGAATAAAATAATTTTTAGCATGTAAATAGCTAAGCTAGTGGTTGATAAAATTACGGGAGTTTTTTTTCATGGTACCAATAATAGTGCCAAAATTCCAGAAAATCAAAACATTTCATAGGTCGTTATGTAAACTGGTCTGAAATAAAATCTATTTGCCTCTCCTGTCAGTATATTTTATGAAAAATAATATGAGATCTTCGTCCCACAAAACAAAGAAAACGAATAGAGCCATTTTTTCGTTATCGACAGCTGTCAAAAAGACTGGTTATTCGAGATCCAAGGAATGTTTTGTAAACAATGAAAAATCCATTGAAAGCTGTTGAAGCCGACATTGTATGAACATATTTCTTTTATATACACTAATTTATGTTAGAAATGCTGTCAATAAGGTTTGGAAAGTGGACGAAATCAACAACAATGTAATCATGAAGTGCCTTTGTTGATAAAGCTGTAATTTCTACTTTCTCATTACTATAAAATACAAAAGTATAATACATGTAACTATTAACTTATATTTTACCTTCTCTCTGTGCTTCACCAAGTATCCCACCACAAGTTAACTGTATCTGTTGTTTATTTCTTGGTACACCATCAAATACTGATAAATACACATAGATGATAAATCCATAACATTTCAATATTAATAAAAATTACTATTACATTAGTTATAAACTACTCGTAGATTTCATATTATTATTTTGTGACACCATACTTAGTACTAGAAATATTAAAAACAAATGTTCTACAGTATACCCACATTTTATATAGCATTCAGAAGAATAATAAATGAAATGTCATCAGTCGATCATTAAAATGAAAACAGTGAAATTTAACATGCTTTTGTGGCTTTCAATAATATAGTTATGCTTTTATTTATATTTAACATCAACTTAACTTCCATAATCATGATTTTCAACAAATCTGTTAATTATTATCAGAATTTCGGTCTCATAAGTTAGGCCATGATTCAAATCTAATGCAATATTCATGGAGAAATAGCACACCGAAATAGCATTTGACAAAAATGTAAAAGGAAAAAAATAATTTTGTTGTACAAACCATCAATAAAAAGATGTTCTTGAATAATGTTGAGTAGAAGATTGAGTTGTTTATCTTGTAAATGACGTTTTAAATGGGTGTAAGAATCACGAGACATTCTAATAACAAATTTACTTGCTCTGTGGAAGAGAAATAATGACAAAACAAGTAGAAAAACAAACGTTTTTATAATTTAATTTTCAAAATAAATATATTATATACTAAATAAGATAAAAACATTAAAAAAGACACTATTAATGATGGCATATTTGGTGCTACTGCTAACAGAGACAAATTGGTTTCATAGAAAGTTGCTACAAAGGCATCCTACGCTCAGCGCCATAAATGTTCATCATTTTCCTGCAAATCGAGAAACTCTTTTTAGAATTTAGTTAAGTCTGGTGAATGAAAGTGCATTTTGGCAAAACAACATGTCAGTCGTTTGTATTTGAAACTGACTTTTACATTAAAATGAATTAATTGCATGTATATAATAATAATAATTGTATTGTGCAACTATTCAATCCATTAGGGAATACTCTAGGTGTTTTCAATTTGGAGTGTCAATGATTGTGACTAAATAAGCATTTTTTTAATCACATTGTCAGATATTTTCTGGATGTGTATTTCACACAGTTGATACACTGCATCAAAAAGTTTGGGATCCAAATGGTTTCCACTTATGGGTAGATACACCCACCAACAATTTGCCTTCTGACCATAATGAGTGGATGATACAGTGATACTAAATTTTTAAATAACCAGAAGCAGATTTGTTAACAGATCGATAAGCTAATGATAAGATTTTATAGTGCATCCTTTTTCGAATTCGGAGCTAATGTAATAATAAAGATGTTTACAAAAACCTACTTGAAATTCTCCATTAACTGATTCCCTTTCATATGTTCGGGTTTTGTAACTGTAGCTAGCTTGGAGATGTCGGTTTGATGATAATCTTCTTGATCTTTAGAAAATTTCTCAAAGAATGATTTTGCTGCATAAAAATAAAAATATATGAATAGATTACGGCTTTAATCAATTATTTGTTCAAAATGACGGAGACCTATCTACAAACAGCAGCCATTTTTCTGGATGACTTTAGTGAACATTTTTCCTCAACATCACAATTTATTATCATTAATAAAACATGACTGCTTCAATGTATTGTATAAATTATAAATATAAGCCATCAGCCATTTCTCAGTAAAGCTTTCTCAATATTTTGCCAGTCATTTATCTCAAAATATATGACAAGTATAATTCTACTGTATTTTTGTGATTTATTGTTAAAATCACTGAATACCAAATTTAATGGCATGTAAATTGACTGACAAGTAGTATATTTGGCAGTCAGCCAATTTCACTGCCATTTGGTCTAGTAAATATTTAGATAAATTTCTTTAATTACCTGTTGATTCATGTCCATTATAAACAAGTTCTAGATACATATGTACAAAAACTGGATATAATACCATAGCTAATTCAACCTGGAAGAAAACACAAATAATTAAAAGAAAACAGAAGCGTAATTAAGAAGCACAATTACTCCATTTAAATTATATGAAATGGAAGGCAAGGAGTTAATGAATTGTGTTGCTTGGTTATAAATTTATTCAAATGAGGTTTTAGTATTTACTCTATGCAAGAAGATCTTAAGAGTGGAAAATATCACATTAAAAGATATTCACCTTATGGACGTCTAAACTTGAATCTACAAAGGCCTTGAGATCTGTGTAAATATCTCCATATAATGTTGGATCATCATCACTGCAGAAAAAAACACACAAGTTACAACACCCATGATGACGAATAATAAGTTTGTAAGTAATAACACAATTTATCTCAGAGTAATATTATAACAAGTACCGGTATACAATATTTTTTTCATTTTCCAATTAATTTAAATATTCTGGCAATGGCGGTGAATTAAAATATTTAACAAACTTGAGCCCTATTTATTGAAATATAGAGTTGTATTACCAGTTATTTTTTTTCATTTCTCATCTTTATAGTGTGGTACTCATAGCTCATGGGCATAATTTGACATTCATTTATTAAATGATCATGAGCTCGATATAAAACAACCTAACCTTTTGTAGGCTGCCAATGCATGAGAAACCTCCGATTCAGAAGGCGCTGAATTTTCTGTTGCAACATCATCATCTGTAAGTTTGGCTTCTCTTTTTAACTGAGACTCAGTTTCCTATAAATTATAAATGAAAATAAAACAAAGTTTAAACTTAGATTGTTTAAGTGGCATTTAGTAACTGGATGAGAATAATACATGACACAATTCTATGGAATACAAGTTACTTGAAGGGTTTATTTTAGCGACGTTTCAACAAGGGCTCTCCAATCTTTATCAAGCTTGATACAGAATTGTGTCATATTTTATTAAAATTAGATGATTCTATAATTTAACTAAGTACATGTATGAGGTGACTGGAGGAGGGGGGGGGCTGCTACTTGATGATACTATTATTGGGCTTGCTGTTCTCCAGAAGAAAAGACTCTGTTGAAATTGCATATTTCCCTGGATGTACATGTAGACCTATTCAACTGGATGTTCTGGCATATAATCATTTTTTGACACTACATACTGTGAAAAAGTAAGTATACATGAGCATAATGAGCAACACAACAGAGTAGGGACCAACTAAAAAAAACATTTTGCATGTTGTGTTTTATGCCTCAATTTTTAAGTAGGCATACCGGGCATAACAGCCATTTGCATTCGGGATGAAGATAAAAAAAAACAATATCAAAGGTAACGAGATTAGCGTACACTACAGTCAATATTTTGTGAATTTTGTTTTTTTAAACACTGACTGACTTAGAAATGGTTCCACTACTGATGTCTTCCACCTTACTCCAGCCACAGTAGTGGCTCGTCCTACAGAGTTCCTTTGCGCAAGTTTTGTAGTGAAATCACTACAAAAAGATTACTGGCCTATAGCTCCCTTAATTTACATATAAACTGAACCAAAACAGTACTGCATCTAGCTTAACATATAATAAATCAATTCCTATTGAAATAAAGGTGAAGCCTTACCACATAATTATATGATTTGATGAAACCCAACTGCTACGCGAAATTTCAACTGGCTGGTGTCATGGCGGCTTGTGTAAAACGTCATTACAAGAAACATCGCTATGCAAATGTAGAACGCATAACCACAAAGAAAAACTGTTCGGTAACTATTTTAGTGGTCCAGTCTTCACTATTTGTCATAGAATTACTTATTCCAATACAAACTGTAATGATATGTGTTGACAATTGTGCGTTTGAACCTATTTGAACTTGCGTAAGGATTCTTAGACTGTATCAATTGTAACGTTAAACACACACAGACCTCGAAATGTTTAAAAAAAGCTACTTGTCGCTTCAGTAAATAACCTGTCACTCTTAATTATCAAACTCAAAGAATAATCACATCACACATATCCATAAATGTAGGTACACACATACGTGGTTAGGTCTTTGACGTACATTGCTCTATATAAATATCGTAATATGAAACCTTTTTATTTCTTCGACATCGGAATGCCTAAAAGTTCTTGAAAGTTGGCGAATCTGCTTCTCGGAAATTCGAAGATTCGTACAATTCTATCATCCGTATCCACGTGAATTCCGCAAAGTATCATGGTACCACACTTCCGTACTAAATCGAATACTTCACTGTTGAGTTGTAGAATTCTGATTTTAAAATATCCGTAATAAATTGAATATCAAAACACAAATCACACCTGTGCATGGCACCGTATTTACATGTACCGTGTGCGAAGGACAGATAACGCCACCTGGAATTCCCTTCTCACATATCCGCACTATTTTTACGCTACAAATTATATTTATATATGAAATATTTTTCCGACCTGATTTTTTGATTTTGTCGAATTGTCTTATAAATTATTCATAGCCTTTATTTATGGAAATTGTTTAAAACTTTTTAAATGATTAAATACACCAAGCAACGAGCCGTGTGCATTTCCATTCCAACCACTACTATATTTACTGTGGTGTCGTTAAGGTAGAATTATTTCAGGTGACTTGGGGGTGCGTTTTAATTTATTTAGATATAATACTCCATAATGCTATAAACTAGTGTCAAGCAGATCAAAACAAGCGTAGATGGTGTGAAATTCATAATATAAAATTGTCTACTTCCAAACTGTGTGAGTAACTGTCGCCTACGACAGAGCGAAATGTAATTGTAAACAGTGCAAATGACGGCTTTTCGCGGTATTTCCGTGCTTAATTCTTGCATTTAGAAACGAATAATTAAATGTACGTGACGTGGACGTGAGTATTGTGGTCAATTTACTGAACATCAAGTAAAATCATTTAGAAACGAATAATTAAATGTACGTGACGTTGACGTGAGTATTGTGGTCAATTTACTGAACATCAAGTAAAATTTATTCCACCTGTCGCAAGCGACATGTAGTTTTATTTGCTACCTGTCAGACGAAAAAATCGCCTATCGGCGACAAGTAGACAGGCGAACATTTCGAGCCATGACACAGTTTAACGTTACAAGTATAGTAACTATGACTGACTGAGCTGTCTGTAGGTTTATTTCAGTTCAAAAATTTTGCACAATTTATGGCATAAATAATTACAAACAAAAGAAAAACATGATTAATTATTGGGCTGAAGTTGAAATATTTACTCACTGCTAAGTTGTGCTTCTTAAGAAACTGTAAAACGGCTAACAGCGTCTGCTTTTCGGAAATATCTGGCTTCACAGGCGCTTTTCCACTTTCTATTCCTTCCATGGCTTCCATCTTGATTAGCCTCTAATATCAAATAGTTGTATAAATTTATACATTTTTGGATACAAAGCATGGTAGATAATTAAGGATGAAAAAAATCTAGTGCATTCACAAAACTAAAAAATTTCTTTGCTAATATATAGGCTTTTATTGTTACTGCCGCTAAAAATTAAGAAAAGAATTTGGGTAAAGAGGATTTCGTGGACCTATAATATCACGTGACTCAAACAACTTCCGTCCTCTTGATTTCATACTTTGCAAAGGTAAGCATGTAGGAAAATTTTATCTGTCTCCATCTCATGCTGACACCCCGCTGTTGTCGATGTAAAGTATAACAGTCTTTAACTAACCTATTACTTTATTATTTTCAGCACAAAGAATACAGAATGAGGGCAAAGGTTAGTATTTAATTTCATTTTAAGTTCCACTTGTGTTTTCTGAAACCAACGTGGAAATTCCGTGTTTGGACTAAATCTGAGTAAAAAAGAACAATTTTTTATTTTATTTATGGTCACGTGTCCGGAAATATTCCATGCTGTAATGTGATTGCAACTCGTGAATATCGTGCCGAGTTTGGTCCTAATAAAACTTTTACATATATATGCCATGCACATGGATTTAATTTATTGACCTTTCGGCTTTCATTATTTTCAGTGGAAGAAGAAACGCATGAGGAGATTGAAGCGTAAAAGGCGAAGGATGAGGGCTAGGTATGAATCATAGTAATTATTGCTCTTAACAGAATGCTGAATATAGTGAAATAGGTGAAAGGTTTAAATGACAGAAAAAATTTGTGCAAATACATAAGATCTAAAATGCTTTAAAACTGAAATCAATGCGTTATAGTCGGCCAAGATTTATAAAAGATCTGCAGATAGTGCAGATCTCGGGGTAAAATTAATGTTTCCAGGTCTGTGCATACAATCAACTCGGTATTAGAAGGCAAAAACCAAATCAAAATGGTGACTACTTGTGACTTGATTAAAAAAAATTTAAGCCCTTTCTGAAAAAATCCTGTATTTTTTTTATTATCAAAGCCCAATTAGAATTGAATATTCATGGGATATAACTGAGAACTGCCATTTTATTGGAGCTCTTCATTGCTGTTTTAACTCCAGAATGCAGCAACAGTGTAATTGACTAAACTCGAGACTTGTTTCATTTATAAACATGTTCTTTCTGTTTTCAGATCCAAATAAGCCATTTCCCTCGTTTTAAATTCAACCCATTAAACAATGAATTGATCACTGAAGATGGAAGATTGGTGTCTTGCGTGATATTAAACTGATTAGGCCGATACCTCAGACTTTACCAGTACAAGTTCATTAAGAAGCTTCATTTAAAATGGTTGCAGGGTTATAAACCATGAATCCAGTTTACCTCATCAGAACTCTTCAGTAATACTGAATGATGTTAAAATATATTCCGTGAATTTTTACTTAAAACGAGAGAAAGTGCCATACTAAATACTTTTGGAAGATGATGGTAAAGAGGAATGTGCTTTTGTGTAATCTGGACAAGATGAGTCTTTTGGATGGTTTTATTGTTCTGTTCTCCCATTTAGCTAAGGACACTTCTAAGATTGTATTCCTAATTTAATGGGTTGTTTTTCATTTTTGTATCCATGTTCAATAAAACGTGTGTGCATTTAATGTTTTCTTTATTTGTGAAATTGGGTCCAATGATAACATTCAGAAAATTCATATCACTTTGCATTCTATTATTTTGAAAACAGCAGATGGAACGAAAAAGGGAAAAGTATTGCACATTATGCAGATTTATAAGGTTTAGACATATTTAGCACATCTTTCCCTTTCATAGGGATATCCCTTCATCATTCAACTTGAATCTCCTTCCTAAGATTGACAAATTTACCCGATTGCACCTTTTGGGGAGATTTATGTGCATTTTAAATAAACGGGCTGAAATGCCGCTCTCCCAAAATTCGCCTAGTTCAAACTGCAATGCATGTATGTTTCTCAACATATTCTGGGTTGGTGCATAAAATTAGACATTTAAGGAGCTAAATCGCTAATATTAGTGACCTAGAAATTGACACAAATGGGTCGCAACGCATATAATGTAATCTGATTGTATATGAACTGATTTACATTCAATTGTTTCCGTTTTGAACAGAAATTTCTAGCGTCTGGTTATTCGAGTTATAAGTTATGGCGTCCCCGTATAACATGAGTTGTGGAATATGTCTAGCCTCGATTTCTGGTCGCTTGTTACAAATGACAATGAAACGCACTATGGTACACGATTCGTGTACCAATGGTAAAACGTTTATTTTGTCTTAAATATTGGGGGATCACGTGGGTAAGACGCTATCTTTCTAGCCTTGAGGTCGGGTGTTCGATCCCTGCATTGGCCGAGAAAGTTCATCCATATTTTCCGGCGTGGTTCTCCCTTGTCAGTGATGCAGGACGGAGGGGATGACAAGGAAAGCTGTCTAGTCGTTCGGATGGGACGAAAAACCGAGGTCCCGTGTACACATTGGCGTGCACGTAAAAGATCCCTTGGCAGTTGGAATTCGATATAAGAGTAGGCCGTAGTGCCGCTGTCCGGGCAAAATTTCCCTCATAGCACACTGTATGGCGTATGCCCGTCTTCATTAGCCCAGGTTAGGAGCAGAACAGTAGGACGTTAAACTCCATTTCATTTCTTAAATATTGGATATCAGAAGTCTACCTTTTCCCGGTAAGATAACGTCAATGTTGATTTGAAATAACAATTAATTCGTGTTTTCAACGTGTAACATTTTGAATGATATTGAGTTAGAGACTTGGCTACTTTAAAATCATTTCGTGTTTTGGTCAGTGGTGTGCTGGAACCTCGAAGTACAAGTAGGGTGGGCAGATCAAACTTGGGCCATTTTTGTAGGGGGCAATACCATACATTTGAAACTTGGGTTAGGGATTATTTACAAATTGCACTTGAAAGAACCGTTGACTGCTGGAGTGAGCAATACAGGTAAGCTGTCGGGCAGAAATTCTCTTAATAGAGACTTTCAGCAAGCGGATTTTTCCCATCCGTATCGTATGCGTGATACGTTGCGTCAATGTAGTTTTTAAGAGTTTTGGCAGATTTTAGCAGTTTTTGGTTTCACTAATGTATCAGTTCAGAAAGTTTAGCCCGTAGATCAACCAGTATGCAGACAGGCGGGAAAAATATGAAAATTCCGAGAAAAACCCATCAAAAATAATGATTAAATTCCAGTCGTTATCACTGTTAAAATCACGTCAAATATACACCTTCGTGTTCTAGGATACACATAGATTCATAAAAACGCTATGATGCAACATTTCAGCGTCTAAAAGTAGTAAAAAGACGTCAGTGTTATACGGACCATTTCCGTATGAAAGCCGTTCCATACGTGCTGCCGTATCGCGTATGAGAAATGACGTTGATGACGTCACACGCAAAATCCATACGGATACGGACCAGGAAATTACGCTTGCCAAAAGTCCCTAATATTGAAACACTACGTGTGTAATGCCCAATTTCATTTTCTTGAAAGGTTTTCTTAGGGGGGGAATGGAGAAAATATAGCCACCTGCAGCTTCTAGTTCTATCCACAGCTAAGGCAAACGCAAATACTCGGCACCAACAGGAAATCTTATCGGATTGAGAATAATTGTCAATCATTTCCGTTTTCTATTGTTTTTGTATTTATGAACTACCTATCCAACACACCACGTGACTTTTCCATTTCATAGGGGCCGTACTGAACTGACACTTTTTTGTTAATTCACATGATTTAGTTCGGTGAAAGGCCAGTTTGTACGTGTTAAGGATTAGGTTTGCCTGTCTTACACAATGGGATCTGTTAATACTAATAAACATCTTATAAAGTGGCTATTTATCCGCAAGTTACAATGTCCCAATTTTTAAAATTCCGTTAAAAGTCCTTTATATTTTCATTTTGTTTTGATGGGCTACATATGAGCCGCAGGTTCACTACGTTTTGAGGGTAGTGTAAGTTGACTTTTGTCAGTCTAAACTGGTACTAAGTTTCACAACTAAAGTTCTGTGCGAATTATTGAAATAAAAGAAGCGGTCGTAAGTGCAACATCCTACTGGGCTAATGAAGACGGGCACACGCTATTTTCTAGGAGTGAAGGGGAGTTGGATGGCCGAATGGTTAGCACGCGCGTGCTTTATCACGAGGCCTGTCATTGAGTCAACTGGCGTGGTTTCGAATCCACGGTTGTACGTGACAAGGAGTAGGGTTGCCTGTCCAACCTCGTGGGTTTTCTCCGGTTTCCTCCCACCGCTAAAGACCCCAACGTGCAAGCGAATTATTGAAATAAAATTAAACCATATGTTCGTCCCGAAATGACCTAGTCTGTCGAGTGGACGTTAAACCCCATTTCTCTCTCTCGGAGTGAAATTTTTACCTGGCCTACTTTAATATCCAACTGACAAGGGATCTTTTACGTGCACGCCAATGTGTACACGTTGTCCATTAGCAGACCTTTCCTGCACCGATGATCTTTCTTGATCAACGCAGGGATCGAACACGGGACCTCCAGAATAGTGAGCCAACGTTTTACTAATTGAGCCACCGTGGCTCCCGAATGACATAGTAATGTAAGTCTTTGAGTGCATGCTAAACTACATTTTCGCAAACCTATCTTTTTTCATATTTGAACACCTTAATAGAACGATTTCTAACAGTAAAATGAGTAATGTTAGCGTGCTGTTTCCGCCATGCTTATTTGGAGTTATTTCCCCTCAAATCATTTTTTTATTACATAAACTGATCCGCAGTGGCCTTCGACCTAATCTGCCGTTGACCTCACCTCACCCTCTGCTAATTATTGCGGGGGGGGGGGGGCTGGGGGTAATGGGGTGGTAGCAACATTAAATTTTTTATTCGTTACAAATACAATTCAGAAACTTCTTAAAAAAATGTAAGTAACCTTGTATCCCAGTTCTCCCAGTTCATATATACGCCTCTAATGTACTAATATAAGCCAACCAATTCATAATTTCATTTTTCACCTGTCGTACTTACATCGACTGGATGGATGATTTTTATATGTCCACATATAACGTTGTTTTGTCTAATAAATACCTAGACTGTGGGACCGGGGTAGCTCAGTGAGTGAGTCAGACGTTGGCTCGCTCTCCCGGGGGTCCCGTGTTCGATTCCGGTGTTGGCCGAGAAAGTTCATCGGATTTTCCAGCGTCCACCCCCCCCCCACCTTGTCAGTGGTGCAAGACAAAGAGCATGACAATTGACACTGTATAGTCGTTCAGATGTGACGAAAACCAACGTCCCGTGTACACATTAGCGAACACGTAAAAGAACACCTGACAGGAAAAAGTTCACTCATAGCACAATGTATCGCGTATGCCCGTCTTCATTATTGCCCAGTCGGAGCAGAACAGTAGGACGTTAAACCCCATTTCATTTGAAATTTATGCGAAGGTCACTGCTTTACGAATCGTTTCTCTGTGGTGGGCAATATATATATATCTTTCAACCTAGGCGCTATTTTGTTCCGCTTATTCGATTAGTTATATGATATTATATAAACATGTTTACGTTTTAAGAAAAGCGCGTTCCGCCTGGATCTCTATCTTGGCTTTGGTCTTGATTATATAGGAAATAAAATGTCTGGATAATGAAGGCCTTCAAAACGCTTGATGGAATTTTCCGTACCACGAGTTTTATTGGGAGGTCGATCTGGAGTCCACCGATACAACCAGAGCATTACTGAACGTGTTTTATAGATAAATATAACCCAAACTGTCTATCTGATTTGTTAGATTAAAACATTATGGAAATCTTGCGGCCATTTTATCGTTAAGAAGTCTAGGGCGAGCCTACAAGAGTGAGCAACTGTCCGATTTCTCGACTTTGAAGGTTTCGTCTTCTCGCGCCCTCACCCTCCGACTTTTCGATTTACGCATCTCCACCAGCACGTATTTGGTTTGTTAACTTCTGTTTACCTAAACCCCTATTGTTTTGGGTTTTTTTAGTATTCACCACACAGCGTTCACCCCACTAATTAGTTCAAACTGATAATAAATACATGTAAAGCAATACATCCCACATAAAGTAGCTTCCACTATGGAGCAATGTCTTATACATATATGTATGTAATTCTACCACGTTGAATTACTGGAACTTTTATCATATTAAAGAAACAGACCAAGAAGAGTTTAAACAGAACCAACCTCATCAATAACGACTGAAGCGTGCGAAGATGTCGACTTTTATATAACAAACGATGAGAAATATTTCTCCTCTGATCAATACAGCATGCAGATTGATTAATCAACAGGATCATCTCCCCTCTTTACTTATAACACTGTAAAGGCCATCGCCCATTACCTTACTTTCCTCGATCAATAAAGCACCACTATACAAACCGTGCCACAGTGTTTTGCTAATCAGTATGGGACACGTGTTCCTAAACTTTAAATAGTGTATCTTTTTTTTAATCAAAATTGTATTTATAAACGTCTTATGTTTTATTTAGATTTCTTTTCTCTTCGTGCATTTTGGCTATAACCGCCAGTGTATAATATATCGATTGTGTATGTATTTGAAGAATATTCACCAATGGGCAACAACAAAATAACGTGGACAAAGTCTGAAAATATAAATCTATGGTCCACCGCCCGGCTCTTATCGGTCAGACGTTTTTAAATCCGAACTAATCACTCTTTAAGTGTTGAGGTTGTCTAATATTTCACGGTGGTCGAAGATGATAAAGAAATTATTACTTTCTCATATAAAGTAGACATTGCTTGTTTCTAAATGAAATGTACTCTTTACGTGCAATCTAATACAAACCATATAGATTTTAATTTTATTCAGAATTCGGAAGCCGACGTTAACCACAAGCCAGTATTAATACAAGTATGAACTTGTTGAGCTAGTACTGTTTTAATATTATCATTATTACTGTGATCATCACAATAGTTGCCACCATTCCAAGACAGCGACAATGGTCAATAGTACGCTTGTACTTGTTTCACCATGGTTATCTCCATGGTTTAACAAAAATACATTAATAATAATTTCATCGATAAATTCCATCGATGATTTAAAAAATATATTACTTATGATCAGAACTATGCCGAGGATGCGACTTGCGATGACAGGAGCATCAGATAAGCACAGTAAGGCCTGTGTCTATCCGACCAATAAACTCAATACGAACGAACGGCATTTAAGCATTAACACTTCATTAACTTCTTTATGATTTCTAGTCATAATGACCAGTCGCCGTAATTAACATGAAAGCTGTAGATCAGAAAATATGTTGGTTATTAATCATGGCGGAGGGCATCTTTCAAATTATGTTTCTGGACTAACCGTTTCTCCCTGACTTAAAACCGCCTGTAATAAATTGGTATCAATGAATTATTGCTTTTATCACCAGATTACAAACACCGGCAAAAACGTATTAAGTGTTTCGCAGGCACCGTTTTTCTTATATGTTTCTTTATTGTTCGCCAATGAATTACTGATTTTCCATATAAATCAATTTACTTTAGGATCTAGTTTGCGAATAACAATTGTTCAGGGAATGTTTGATTATTTTTGTACCATTTTATCTTTTTTCCGAACCACCAATAACTAATAAAGTGCAGGCGTAAATTAATATAGATTGTCTTTAAATATTTCCACGATGGTTCAAAAGCATGCATTAATAAAATTTAAAGAATACCATTTTGATTAATGTACCAATCTCAATCAATCGTATTCTTTTGCTATGAAAAAACATTCATTAATAAGTGTCCACATCTTAAAAAAAATGTAAAGAATCTCGGAGTTTCTCTGTTAATGTCACTCGAATTGAAATGAACTATATATTTCCGACGAGCTCATTTTTAGTCGATGCAAGTTTTGAGTCTAATAAATGGAAAGGATGCACCGGTTTAATGTTCTGACAGAAAACAAAACAGAGGCTGTGTCGACTAATTTGATTAGTCTGTCAGTGAACCAACCCAGTAGACCAATGAAAACAATCACCAACAATAGATAATTATAAAGTGTGGCGATGATTAATGGGCTGATATGTTGTTTATGAGGAGAATTTGAGGTTTTGAAAACTGATTTAAGCCCTACTACTCCAGACAATGAGGAACTATGCCCTTGTGACAAATGTAAGCGAGATCGATGCTTAATAACAGTCTAATAAATTCTAAATACTTATTACCTTTCAGATAATATAATCATTCGTTCTATTTGATCTGTTTCAATATGAAGAGTCCAGGGGAAGAACGATCTAAGTCACATTTTTCTCTTTTCGCATAAAAGGCAAAACAGACTTTTGGATGAGAATGCTTGACGCGAAAAGAACAACGAGTGGGTTTAATTACAACTTCAAAATGATGTTGAATACGAATCATAATTACCAATACAACAACCGACTTCCACTTTTCAGCCAAATTAAGGTCAAATAAAGGGTAGGATGGACTTGTATTTGTCCGGGAGGTCATTTCAGAAGGGCCTTGGTTCGAAATTGATTGTTCCACAGAAAGCTTATACAATTTGCTACTAGATGGCGCTATTAACTGGGGTTCGTTGAAAAAGTGACATAGATCGTTCTTTCCCGGGGCTCTTCATATGTTAGCTGTTGAATTTCATTGTTGATGTCACACAAGTATGATTTCACGAAATTGGCTGCAGGAATAAAGTTTTGATGTGTATAATTTGTGCCAATGTTAAGTCAATGAAATATTCATCCGCAGTGAATCGCCCCATGAACTTTATACTGTTATACTCATTCGACATCTTTTTTGGACCAATAGAATCCACGAAATTTTGATTTTCAGCTAGAAATACCTTAACTTCGTTCTCTTTCGCTCGACCTCTCTGGCTGATTAACCAAGCAGTATTCTCCTTAATTTCTTGATCAGGGCGCGAAGTGGGTCTTTCATCTATTACAAAATAAAAGGAGGTCATTCCAATACACGCGTTCTATATATGGTTGAAGGAAATCAAATACTCATAGACTATATCCGTTATTAATGTTTTTAGTTTAAGGTAACGACATTAGACATAGTGTGGATGTTCTTAACCGACCGTGTTCCAATTTCCCTTTCAGCAGACTAAACCCAAGAAAAGGAAAATCAGCCTAATATCTGACAGCTGATGACTGATGACTTTGTATTAAGTCAAACATTTCTCATATCCACTGACAATTTCTCTCACTCTGTGATTGACTGGTTTCGAGCGCACAGAAGCATTGCTCTTGATCTGTATAGCCAAGCTATGAGGGAAATTTTACCCGGACATCGGCACTACGGTCTACTCTTATTCCAACTGTCAAGGGATCTTTTACGTGCACGCCAATGTGTACACGGGACCTCGGTTTTTCGTCCCATCCGAACGACTAGACAGCTGTCCTTGTCAGACCCTCCGTCCTGGATCACTGACAAGGGGGAATCACGCCTGGATGAACTTTCTCGGCCAATGCAGGGATCGAACACCCGACTTCCAGGCTGGCGAGCCAGCGTCTTACCCACTTAGCCACCGTGATCCCTTGCTGCTTGACAGTATTTAATTATGCTATAATATATATTATAAAAGTTTCACATCATATTTATAATAGTGTATACATCAGACAAGTTTATCCCTCTTATTGCGTTTCTAAGGTTTCATATCTTTTCTATTTAGACGCGGGGAGCCACGGTGGCTCAGTGAATATGACGTTGGCTTGTTATGGTACTTGATATTTTCCAATACAAAATTATGATCCCTGAATCCAAACAACCAAAATAACAAATATCACCCACAATTCCTTATAATTTAAAGGAATAGTTCAGTTTCATCTTTTTTTTTATCCCATTGCTACAGATAACAGGATAAATGTTCCGAGCAGCTGATTTTTGTACTGTAGTCGAGTTTTAGATTTTCGATTTGCCTAACTAATTTGATGTAGTGTTCTATTCTCGAGTCTTTGTTTGGTACCATGTATTTGAACCCCGCCATAATATCTTTGTATCTACTGACCCGTTTATTGGAATAAGATATCGATATGCATGGTTTTCATTTACATCACCATACATAGAATTATGTCAAATTCCATTTATTATTAAAGCATTTCACATTGATAGTGAGAGAGGTTATTTACAAATTTACAAAACTGACATATCGTGACGTTTCTGGGTTGGTCAGCTTACAGATGCCTGACTTCAGCTAGTTTAGGACATGCGCATTCTACCCCTTTTTTTGAATACATATAGTCGTTCGAACGGCATGTAGAAAAGAGCTCACTTCCTAAACTGTTTTTCCTTTTCCGCGTTTTGGTTTAAAATGTGAGCAAATTGACAGTTCCAATATGGCATATTCGTAATCGACCCATAACCGACTTTTAGCCGTCGCTGTCAGTAGGTAAAGTGACGCCAGTATACTTACACATGTAATGTGGGCAAACAAAAGCAACACGAAGAACTATTTGTAGTAACAAAATGATGATTTTAATTCTCGTATATTCAATGTGTAAATGAATGGTTTAGTCGATGGAGATACAGGAGGCTAAGTCCCGTTTCTTTTCATTCTTAAGCACCTTAAACATAGCCTACATTATGCAAGAGCTAAATCTGATTATTGCAAGTCTTTATTATTTCTTCAGATTTCATAGAAATTATAAATTAGATCTTTATTTACACAGCAAGCACAAAATCAACTCGGTAGAACCCGGGAGGGGGGGGGGATTCGGCTTTGATTTAAACAGGATTGCATTGATTGATTAAATTTTTAAAAGGCGTCGTAAGCGGAGATTAACCGCTACGTTGACGTCATACTCCCGGAAGTTTAGATCGAGGCTAAATGATAGAGTGTACGAAGCGAGGCCGCTGTTGAGTGAGGCTGCATGTCATACAAAATACAAAACGAGTAGAGGAATGGGTGGGCACACGTCCAATTCTTAGACCCAGATTTGTTATGTAACAAATTTCAGGCCAGTTGTTGTTTGCATTCATAGGGAAAATATTATATTCAAATTCACGCGAATCATGGTTTCCTTTTAATATATCAAATTAGTCAACTCTCAATACCATCTGACGGATCTGATTTTAAACAGATTTGAATCCGATCTGCGGTTCAATGGCTGTTCATAATTAACCGTAAAATGGATAATCGAAACGGTAACAATGATAATCGAGGCTACAGAGTTATTGAAAGGGGTTTTCACGGCTCAAGGTCAAGTAATTTGACAGAAAATTTCAGCACATTCTCTTTACATTATATATTGTTTAACTATTATAGCGAGAACTGTCAGCTCTTTATCTTATCTTCATTAATGCCGCTTTAAATTTCTAAAATGATACCGTGTCTTAGACATGGGATGGGTATTATTAATTCTTAAATATTACGAAGCCCCAAAAGTGCCAAACAAAACGAAAATCTTAATCCGTTTGAACCAGTTAGTATGTCGTTTGAACGAGTTAGTGTTTGCGCTAGTATAGCTAAAGATAATATTATTGATGTCGAAGGCTATTATAGATATTTAAAACCCCCTTTAATATATATATTTAAATCATTTCAAAGATACTGGAATCATGTATACACCAGTTGTTACGTTATATTTATAGCACTGCTTTCATGGGTTAACAGGTTTAACCAGAGGCCGTAGGCTGAGGTTTTAAACCTGTTAACGAATGAAGCGTACTATAAATGACTTGTAACATTGACACCTGCTCAACATGCTTATTGTTATTGCACAGAAAACCCACCCCACTTTTCTATATGATTTCTACTAAAACTAGTGTAAACCAGCAAAGAGGGAAAACAATTTGCTTATTCAACGAAAAGAACAAAGGAAGATTCCTCGTCCATGTTACAAATATCCATATTCAGATTTGTGTCATTAGACCAACACATATTTTTTTGTCCCTTATTTGCCCAGGGGGTTAAACCAAACTAATTTATATAGGTAAATTAGGTTAAATGTTTGCAGACCATATAGCAAAAAACTACCCAAAGCCGACAAGAAACTATATTAAGCAGCCGTGTTTGTCAAGTGACTTAATTCAGAGAGGGTACATTTATAGAGCTTGTATTTGTTGTTACTTGCTATCCATTTACTATAAATATTGAAGCCTATAAGCAAATTCTTGAATACTCCTCTACCAATTTCTTTTTCCGCCGTTTATTAAGTCTCCCTACATCACTCCACCAGACAACAAGTCGACGCGATTACCAGTTAGTGAAACCTTATATTTTCGCCCTTTCGGGAATAATTTTTCTAGTAAGATTGGGTTTCTCTATTTACCAAAATTTATAATAATTAACAACAACTACCCTATAAATGTATATTATGTGGAATCTAGCAGATGAGGCAACACCGTTTTGCCATAATATATACACAGAAGTGTGTGAACAGTTACATTCCATTATGTGGAATCTAGGCAACCACGCATAAAATATTCGCAAAGAAGTTCGGGTTATCCGTTTGTTACATCTACTAATAATAGTTTTTAATGATTCCTTGACATTTTTTATCTTTTGAGTTGATAGCAGACAATATTTATCGGGTCAGGGCGCTGACCATTCAACAAAACAATCTACAAAATATAGCTGATATAAGACTCGTTTGACATAACATACTATAATAAAATAATGACATATACATTTTCCTCTTGTTATATACAATATATTAATTAATAATCAATATATACAAACAAATCATTTCTGTATACATAATAATATAAATAATATTATGTATTATACACTTTCACTGATTAGAACAATTAACACAAGCTTGTTGAAGATCTAGTATTGGGGTTTCCAACCTTGTTTCATCACGTTACCCCTGACAATGTTTCGAAAGTAAATGTACCCCACCCACCCACTCCTCTTTTTTTTCAGTAATATGCGTTTTCACTTCTACCATATTAAAGCGACCGACAAAGGATTTGTTTTAACTTATAGTTTAAGTTATAATAACAATAATTGTAATACACGTAATGGCACATGGCATTGTTATTTCACTTAGTTTCTTCTCAACCTCAAAATTATAATTTGAAAAAAAATATGTATACATCCTGGGGGTAAATATACACTAGGTTGGGAACCCTTGATCTATCACCTTCGAAAACACGAACCCCCTTTAGGGCACAACCGCTTGTTCCATGGAAAATCTCTAGGATTATTGTACTTTCTAAAAAGAAAATGGTTCCACAACAAAAATACGACCCGGCAACGAAATAAGGCCATGGTGGGTGGCGAAAATTGTTTACCTTTAGGCAGAAAAAGGTGGGCACAGAGAACAATCAAATACAAGTTGATGACTGAACGGAATTGATATTGGATAAAATTAAAGAAAAATGGACAAATATAAAATCCACTTTCTCACTTAATTAATATTTCTATAAGAGAATTAGTTTCAGACCAGTCATTCTCCCCTAAATTTGATTATTTCGCTTATTGGATATGAATGTAATACACTTTAAGCATAAAACTTATCCTCAGCTGAATATTCTTTTCGAAAGAGATTTTCCATGTTACAAGAGCCCGTAGTTAAATGCCCATCAGCAGCCATGTCAGCCATGTTAGCTGCAAAACTAATTCCAATAAATCCAACCCATCACGTATAAAATAATTCCATAACAATCCCGTTAAAAGTGCACTTTGAAGGCTTTAAAATGTATAAATATTACGACAGTGTTATGCCCTTTTTCCATAATGATCTTCCCCACAAAGATTTGAAAATTAGTTCTTGAGATATGAACGTTAAAGATATGCTTTCGAAATTACTATTCAAAATACCTGCATTTCCATATGGCCCTTTATTATTACCTTTATTAATGCCCAAAACATGTTAAAATCACTAGCCCATAAGAAAGGTGTTATAACGATGAATCGACGAATTTGGCAGTATTTGGGCCAGTATCTTGCAGAACAATTCTTATATAATCACAGATATGATGTGATTGATATGGAGCGGGATATTCTCTAATCTTTGAAACTAATAATGCTCTTTGAAACAATAATACTCTATGAAACAAATAATGCTCTTTGAAACTAATAATGCACGTTAAAACTATTTTGCAACTAACAATACTCTTTCTGTGTCATAATGTATATATAATATAGTTTTCTCTTGGCCCAGTCAATACACCATTTTGGCGGAGTTTCATTTTCGCTCAGCACTTTATCTAAACAGATTAATTATGTCCATTTCCGCACAGCTAGTTTACTATTTCTTAGAAAATATTCCCCTTTAAAGTTTATTATTCTTCAGGAAATATGTTTGTTCCCACACCGTCAGTTTACTATTCCTTATGCCGTACTCTTTTCCACACAATCAGTTTACTATAGTCACTTTCACACAGTCAATTTACTAGTTATTATACGTATAAAATAATCATTTCCACAGTCAGTTTACTAATACTTATGAAATAATCATTTCCACACAGTCAGTTTACTATTACATATAAAATAATCATTTCCATACAGTCAGTTTACTATTACTTATGACAGTCAACCGGCTCTTATTATCATTGTCTTAAAGTCAGGTATACCCTATGGGTTTCCTATTATCCAACAGTCACTACTTCATTTCTTTGGCTATAATCTCACCGTCACACCATTTCACAATACCCCGCAATCACTTTGTAACCACTCTTGAATTATCAGGTAAACAATGGCCACTATGTCGAAGTTAGTGCGCCCACGGAGGCTTTACACTTTATTTGTAGAAATACTACAGACTACTTAGAATACAAAAGCATGGTAAAAAATGGTGGCTATCTTAATCAAGAAAGTTGAGTAAATTAATCAAATATTAAGCATTCACTGCCTCGTTCACGACAGCCTACAAAAATCAAAATTTCAATTATGTCAATGCCATTTTCTAATTTTTAAAGTTAGCAGGAACTTATTTGAACTTCAGAAGCAGAGAATGACAAAAATAAAATCACTTTCTAATTTTCCAAGCTCGATGCAGGATTATAATTGTAATTAAAACGCAAGTCATATGACGACCTAAAACATTTTGGTCGATTATTAGAAGTAAATAATATATTAAATATTTAAAATTCACGGAAGTTTATTTTCTTAATACACTATAAGACTTACATATACAAGTCGTTACATAATATATTAAAACAATGTTTAAAACGATTGCTGTATTTGAAATGCGGAATGTACAGGTGCCATTAAATGTGCTACGTAACCAAATGATGAGGAAGCCATCAGTGGTACACCAATAAAACTACGATTCTAGTTATATTGCGTTCTACGTCAGAATTTCGTGTGAAGCCTCGACGTCGATATCTTGAATAGGGACGTGCATGTTTCTGGTTACGTGTTTACTATATTCGGAGAGATAGTTATGGATTTTATAAAATGGCATTCTCTCTTTTGGATCTTGCTTCCAGCATCCTAACATAACATGGTATATTGTGGAAGGGCAATCGTTTGGTCGCTGAAGAAGAATGCCAGTGTCCAGAAATTGTATGACCTGAAAAATAATGAAATCATATCAATTACTAATGCAAAATATTTATGACCCAGAAACGCGCAATGCGCATCATTCTTCAAAATATCCATTTACTACAAAAACTCTTTGCAGTACAATTCTTATTTATAACGAGGGGATCACGTGGCTAAGTAGGTAAGACGCTGGCTCGCTAGCCTGGAGGTCGGGTGTTCGATCCCTGCATTGGCCGAGAAAGTTCATCCAGATTTTCCGGCGTGGTTCTCACTTGTCAGTGATGCAGGACGGAGGGTCTGACAAGAACAACTGTCTAGCCGTTCGGATGGGACGAAAAACCGAGGTCCCGTGTACACATTGGCGTGCACGTAAAAGATCCCTTGACAGTTGGAATTCGATATAAGAGTAGGCCGTAGTGCCGCTGTCCGGGCAAAATTTCCCTCATAGCACACTGTATGGCGTATGCCCGTCTTCATTAGCCCAGTTTGGAGCAGAACAGTAGGACGTTAAACCCCATTTCATTTCATTTCATTTATTTATAACGATTTTGTCGCCGATTAATACAATTATTTTAATACAATATACGAGTATACCAATATTCTTTATAAATCTCTTTTCGTAATAAGGATTGAAATTGAGAAATCACCTCTTCATTGGAATGTCCGTAATACGGCTGTCGACCGGAGCTAAATATTTCCCATAAAACAACACCATACGCCCATACATCGGATTCTATGGTAAATTTACCATATTTGACACTTTCTGGAGACATCCATCTTACCGGCAACATTCTAGATCCACCAACCTAAATCAAATAATCAATTGAAAAGTATTTCTTGTAATCCTGTCTTATTCACAATGGGGTTATAATATCCCAGAGATAATTATCATGTATGATTATGAATTATAATTAAGTATTTCATCCTGACCCGTGAATTGATAGGGAACAAATTGTAATATATAGCTAGACAATTCCTTAAAGGACAATATTGGTGCCAGTCATTATCAAATATGTGACAGAGCTGGTTAAACACATGCCAAATATAATTTTAACACAGAGATCATTGCCACGATAGCTGAGTAATACGGATATACGGGTATAGAATGAATATAAACAAGGGAATGTACGGACTATTTCTATTTTTCTCGTGTTCTCTTATCTAATGACATTCAGTTACTTTATTGAATTGTCAGGTATCCTCTTACAGTCCCATATAACAACTTTTGGTCTTCGAAGGAATTATTAGAGAGCAGAAATTCGACCGTGTATCATTCAATTACTTTATTGAATTGTCAGGTATCCTCTTACAGTCCCATATAACACCTTTGGTCTTCGAAGGAATTTTTAGAGAGCAGAAATTCGACCGTGTATCTGTTATCACTCGTCACATCAGTCAGTTATATAGAGAGATGACTCGTGTTTTCCTTTGGCGTTCGTCACTTCCGATTCAGGAAACTTGTATTACTCAGCTACCGTAGCAATGATCTCTGTGTTAAAATTATATTTCGAATGTGTTTAACCAGCTCTATCACATATGTGATAATGACTGGCACCAATATTGTCCTTTAAATGCTAGAGGGTCATTCCGAGAAAATGCTATAACGGTAGATAATTGAAAACGCTTCCCCTTCAAGAGGGCCATGGACGAAATATTTAAAATAGAACATGTAAAATACCAACAGATATTGCCTATATTGATAAATTGATAATTTAGATGACCATTTTCAAGAGAGGACTCCCCTGAAAAACTCTCATCGTCATTTGAGGTACTTTGAATCCCTTGCAAACTTCAATATCCGGCAAGTTGAACCCATAAAAGGAATATCACCCCAAAATCGGTTCCGTTCCGTTCATAATATCACGAATTAAAAATTTTGGAACGTTTGACTTCGACTGCAGACGACATAAACCGGATATGGTCAAAACAGCCGTAAACCACAATGGTCAAAATTCACTTTATTAAAAACTTGTTTTCCGTTTTGACCGAATATTTGGGCCTTGTAGACCAAATCGTCTACGAGCTACATAAACAAACCAACGCCACTTTGATTGACCTTGTTTAAACCCTTATAAAGTCTGAAACTATGTAGCTTGGAAGAAGACATTTAGTTGCCGACTTTTATAGGCGACGACCGCAGACAAAAAGAGTACAACCATGATAAAACCTTGTTATTTTGTTTTGCTGTCATATTGATTTTATTAAAAGGGCGAGATTATACATGACGCTATCAGTCAACACATGGGACTGTATAATAACATAATCTAAGAACGGATTTGTTACTCATAAATAAGATTTAAATTGAGCCTTATTTTTTTTACTCTTAAATCAGACGTATTAATTGGCCATTTCAGGATATAGTTCCTCTCAATGAACAAAGCTGTAATTTTTCCTTTTTTTAGTGCGTGTTATGTTAACAAGGAAATACAAAGTTGATCTAAAATTAAATCAGGCTAATATTTATATATCACGACGACATGACTCATTTGCCCCAGGTCGAGTTTTCTTTTAAGGAAGAATAACATCATTAGAAGAGACGCATTTACGGTAATAATGGCGATTTTAGTCACGGAGAAAAACCGAAGAAAATCTCACTATGTGCACAAGTCGATGCGTCTTCCCGAGTCTTACATCCCGCTTCTACCTCGTTGTCAGTGGCAACCTTTGATAAAACTTTCCTGTTTATTTGAAACACAGGCATAAAAGTATCCGTGTATCAGAAATGAACAGTACGCTTTCCAGAAAGAGTACTGTTCATTTTCGACAAACGAACACTTTTATACAAGCATTGAAAATAAGCAGGATGAAAACAAACGCCTAGAAAGTCATAAGTTTTATTACAAATAAATTTCAACGGACGAACCATCCGCCGATGCACACTTCACCAGGATTGACCCACGTTGTGCAGTGTCCTTTACATTACGTTTAATATAATTGCAGTCCTCTACGCAAGGGATAAGTTGTTTTGACGATGTGGTTGGCCCTATGTTCACTGACTTCGTCAAAACAACTTCGTCTTTCAATACGGAGTGCAGTCTAAAAAAAAACACGTGACTGTTTTACGCTCAGGGTAATGCAGCAAGACGCACGTAAGGGTTATCGACTGAGACAGAGGGGTTCAAGTTAAGCGGTGGACACACTAGCCGAATGATTCGACCGAATCGTTCGGCCGAATCAATCGGCGTCGAAATTCGCCTAGTGTGTCCACTGTCATTCGGCCGAATGATTCGCCCGAATCAAACAGGTTTGATGTATTCGGCGGAATATTTATTCGGCTGGTGTGTCCGCTTCGCCGAAGCATTCGGCCGAATGTAGAATTCATTAGCCAATCACCACTCATATCGAGAAGTCACGTGACAGTTTGAAGACATAGACGCCGCCATGTTTAATCATGTGACGTGAAAGGTGATGCAATCGACCGGTGAATCGGGCGAAGCATTCGGCTAGTGTGTCCACCCATTCGGCCGAATAAAATTCGGCGCCGATTGAGTACTCAACGTCAGTATAGGGCAGAATTAGACGCCAAACAATTATGACTATTACTTAATGGGTTGTTATTCGTACTTATGTGTTGTAAATGTTTTCCTTACCGGCAAGGGGGGTTCGATGACCGAATGGTTAGCGCGTGCGCGTTGTATCATAACGTCTGTCATTGAGTCAACTGGCGTGGTTTCGATTCCCCGGTAGTACGTGACAAGGTGTAGGGTAGCTTGTCCAATCTCGTGGGTTTTCTCGGGGTCCTCCGGTTTCTTCCCACTCTTAAAGACCTTTACGCCCAAACGAATTATTGAAATAAAATTGAACCATGTTAGTCCCGAATTACCTCTTTTGTGTCGAGTGGACGTTAAACTCCATTTCTCTCTACTTCCCCACAAAAGAAATAATATGCGACACCCTTATTGACTGCCCGGACGACATAGCTGCTGTGGGCGTATGTTTCGTAATCTGGCAACCTATCTTTAAAATCCACAACAGGCCAATGAATAATATAATAATTATTTGGTGTGAATGGGGTATGCTGCATTGACTGGAATACGTTTTACATTCACGATTTGTCAGCCACAGAACAAAATAACCATGTACGAAAAAAATAGCATGTGCGATGATGTAGGAAAGGTATTTTACAAGATTACAAATTATCTAAAACATGGCCAAACAGAAATTTATCCCAGTTCGCTAGGTTTTGTGTATTTGTTCCTTACTATTGGATGCGTTTTCTAGCTAATGATACTATTTCACAATCTACATTGAAAAAATATTTATTTAATAATTGTTTTAACTGCATGTATTTATATTTTAACTAACACGGTGTTTCTTGTTATTTATAATACAGTGCACGCACGAAAATGCATGGTCTGTTATAACAATCACCGGGTTAGTATGTTGGGGTGTTCATTTATATGAACACCTACTTTTCCTCAAATGATCACCTGTGCACGTGCTAAAACAACACATTACAGGTTGATCAGTAACTTGAACACCCGAGTCAGAACAAAGGGGTCCAGTGGCAGTGTGTAAGTGTAAATACTACTCGGGTCGTTTCTTCACTGCGAAATCATTTTACCACGAAATGTAACGTGAGGCACAGAAAGGGATAAATGAAAGAGCAGAAAGTATTTGTCATATTTCGCTTGACACGACTATCTATCTATATATATATTTGTGACTGTCGTTTGTCTGTCTGTCTGTCTGTCTCTTCGGGGTTGGCGGTTACAATAGGTCTGCCCCGAGTCTGAAATTTGGGGTATAGGGGTAGCTCGGACCGGGGAGTAACATAGGCCAGGTGGCGTTAGTCTACCACTTCCGGTTTCGGAGTTATGACCCCCGAGCGAAGCCGGGTATCCTGCTAGTAAATACTATTTTTCACATTTCGCTTCACAATACTCGATATAAATGTGATGTAAGTGAGTTATTGGCACCTTTCCTCGGTGTATCGGTGAAGATCAGAACAGTTTTGGTCGGGGGCCGCCTCGGCTGGGCCCTCGAACAAAACTGTCCTGACTGCGCCTCGGCTGGGTCCCTCGACCAAAACTGTCCTGATCTTCACCGATACACCTCGGAAAGTGTGCTAATAACTGCTACATAGTAATACAGTTAAAGAGTCTAATACTTTGACAAAAGTGAGCGTATCAATCGCAGACTACATGACCAATGAAATGAAGTTTAGCATGCTAATTGTCTGCAGCAACTGAGCTGGAAACCATAGTTTAGACAGGCCACACTGTCAACTACGTGTCATTTAAGTAATCAATGTAAATGCCGAATTAATCGCCAGCTATCGAGCTTTAAGAATATTAATTGGAAGCGACTGAAATTGCATCTAACAATCTCTGCTATTTGTAAAAATTTCCCAAAATGACATCATATTATGGTGTCTTTAATGACCGTGAAACTACGAGAAACGTTTATATCCATACTCATCGCCTCGATTTTATCCGAATAAACCTTAAAACGATGTACTCGGACATCGAATTATAGGGACTAAGTAGAGAGCTTTATATTTGAAAATCAGTAATCTTATTAATCCGAATCGATTTATTCTGTTCTGTGTTGTTTTGTTTACAAACCATACCGATCAGCTCAAACAGATAAGTGCTTACCTTATAATAATCACAAGTGTAAATATCACGCGACATGCCAAAATCCGATATTTTTACCACAAGACCTTCTCCTACTAAGCAATTCCTCGTAGCTAAATCACGATGAACAAAATGCTGTGACGTCAGATATGCCATACCATTTGAGACTTGGGTTGCTATGTCTATCAGATCAGTCTGAAAATAAAAGGCAGGTACATTTACAATACGAATGCCTTGGTGAGAGTCATTGCACATGTTTGTGGCATGACTTAGGAGGGAAGCCCACTTCAAAACCCACGTAGTAGTAGTCCGAAAATACCCACAAAACACGAACCCAATGATAATGGTTCCATCTTAATCGGGCCAGGGTAATGGCGTCACTTATGAAGTTATTGACCCCCCCCCCCCCCTCCATATCTAAGGCTATATATTTCTGGTTTTGATAACCCTTTCCAATATGTATAAACCTATGAACATATATTACGACGATTTCGATCATCAAATAATAAAAGAATGAATAACTTTATATACTATAATGCGAACATGTATATTCTGCTTGTTGATCGATTTGGAAGCAGACTTCTGGACCGATCGTTTGGACTCAAACCAACACGTCAAGCGATAGTTTAGACTTGGATTTCTGGAGCAGATGCTAATGGACTTCAACACATTTACTACCACTGTTATACACGAAAGGTTAAAATTGTCAAGACGTTAATATCTGCCCGCTCCCGCTCACCCATCCAATGTAGTCTAGGACAATTGAAGATCTTTAGATCTTTTTTTATCTAATCAGAGAACAATGGGGTTTTTTTTAAATAAACACACATGCGGGGTCAATCTCGACCATCGAATTTAAACTCAATCTCGACCACCAAGTTTAAAATCAATCTTGACCATCGAGTTTATAATCAATCTCGACCACCAAGTTTATAGTTAATCTTGACCACCAAGTTTAAAACCAATCTCTACCATCAAAATTAAAATCCATACTGCAAAATATAATTAAGAAAATAGCGTTATCGCAAAATACTATTCTTCTGTATGCCTCAATTATGTACAATCACAACCCGTCTTCATTAGCCCAGTTTAGGAGCAGAACAGTAGGACGTTAACCCCATTTCATTTCATTTTCATTTCATTTACAACTTAAAGATACATTATCAGGGCCGGATCCAGAGGGGGGGGGGTCCGTCCCTGATTATGTAAGATTTAGATAAAGAGCTGGCCGTTCTTACCATAATAGTTCAAAAATATACATTGCAAAATGAAAATATTGACAATGTCATTCAAATTTCTTTATTCTGATCGAAAGTTATCACTATTTGAAGTTTTGACAAGATGTGGCATAGATTGTTTATTAATCTTATCAACGGTACTTGTTATCGTAAGCGAGACTAAGCCTCGATTCACCATTTTTAAATTAAATGATTAAATTTCGACCGTGTCTTGAGAGTTAATTATAAGCTAGTCACGTGAATAGTAATAGTTCACACAAAAAAATCCATCTACATGTAGAGTTAAATCCATCTACATGTAGAGTTCAAAGTTCAACTCTGCACTGTATGTCACATATCCGTTTGCCATTTGTGATCGATAATTCTAAATTTCGACAGAATTCTAATTCCTTATAAACAATCCCACCTATATTTTTCAAAATCCCAGAAACACTCTTGTGGGTAGGGTGTTTTAGCTGTTTATCAGCTATGTAGGACAGATGAGTGTGACGTCAATAGTGTGAAGTGTGGGAGTATAAATTTGAAGATAGCCCCAAGAAGAAACTTTAAAAGAAAACTAGTCTTGAATAATTATACAAATAAAGCTAGAATCGGGATATTGACCTGTCTATAAAAATCATTTCAATTTCTTAATTCCAAGTCGGGTTTCGTTTTCCCTTTAATTGGTTAGAGGAAGCGTCAATAAAAGGTCTTGTCTGGGTGATCAGTGGCTACCATTTTACTTCATTTATCAATGCTGACGGCAAATGAAAGACGACTCGAAACCTATATACGGCGGACTGATTGACAGAAACTGACTTTGTGTATAATCATTACATACCATGGTGTTAAATTTGATTGACAGACTGTAGATCTCATTAAAAAAATGTTATCGCCTCTTCAAATACTTTATGTCACTGATCAAAATAATACAATCTTGTAAATTTTTCATCAATGATCTAAACTTGAGATTTTTTGGAAAGAAAATAAATTGAAATGGTGCCTTTTCATTTTCTAAAGATTCATAGACTGTCTAGATCATGATTTTAACAAGATAAAATGTCACACCACAAAGAAACCGGTACCAAATGGAGTTACTGGAAATTATTCATTAAAATCGCTATAGATATAAAATTCGCTATGTCGCAGTGTACATGACAGTAATTCAAACTGGATGTAGAATATGCTAAAAGATCAAATCCAGTACGAACGTATACTATAATAATAATTAATCTTTCATATAGCGCGATTTACATTTAAAAATCTCAAAGCGCATTATGTTGAATAACATTTTCGAAAAAGTATGTTTTTAAAGATCATTTAAAAGATATCAAATTCGTAATAGACCTCATGTAACCAGACAAAGAATTTCATATTATAGGGTTGGTGCAAAAACATGGAACGCGCGATCACCACAAGCTCTTGGGGGTTTGGTTCGATGTGGTTGATTCAAAAATTCTCACCAGTGTAGTAACAGAATTTAGTTCAGTGAAATAGATTTGCGCAGATGTTGTATGACGAATCAACTTGAAAATTATACAGATGGCCTTAAACTGGACCCGAGCTTCAATTGGTAGCCAGTAGAGTTCCATTAATATAGGCCTCATACCTGCATGACGCTCCAACCTGCGTTTGACTATTAAGCGAGTAGCAGCATTCTGAATGTGCTGCAATATACGGAATTGGTAACGATATGAACCAAATAGTGAGCTATTGCATTAGTTCAACCGTGAACTCACAAATGCGTGGACAAGCTCCTCAGCCGTGCTCTGATCATGGAGCCTTCAAAGTTTGCCAATACGCCATAGGGCAAACGACGCAACCCTGCACAGATTAGTGATATGGGTGTCCATGGTTCCTTTCGAATCCATCAACACCCCCACGATTCCGCACCAAATCCGTAGCAGAGACGTATACCTCCCAAATCCGTACATCGTTCATGACAGACCGGACAGCAACATCTTTAAAACGGGATGAAAGCTACAGAACTTCCTTCTTTCCATCGTTCAATGCGAGCATATTCGCACCCATCCAATGACGGATTTCCACACAAGCCTCAATACGACCAACAACGGTGTAATCAGTCCGGGATTCACACGCAATGTCCAGTTTGGTGTCACCTGCGTAGATGGCGGAGTTCAGGCCATGGCGGGTAATGATCTCTTCGAGTGGAGCCATGCGGTATTCCATAGGTAAGAGGGTGTTTCTCCGAAACCACCGAACCTATCGCAATCCTCTGCGTTCTACCCGCAGATATGATTCAAGCCAATCTAGGGCTGTGCCTTCGATCACAAACCATGAACACAGCCTGTCTATGAGGACGTTGTGGTCAATGTGTCCAGTAGGATAAGGATTAGATCATGCTGTCTATCGAGAGAGCGCGTGGCGTCATTATGGACACGCAAAAGAGCCGTCTTTTTGCTGTGGCCCTGACTATTATTCAGTAGGTACTTGGCGTCGGCCTGAAGAAGAGCAAGAACAACAGCAACATGAATATAGCTTAGGTCCCAGTTCCTGGAGGAAAAATTTACAAAACAGATATCGCTGCATATAGAATATGAACTAAAATGAGGTTTAGCGTCCTGTTTTTCTGCACCAACCGGGATAATGAAGATGGGTATATGCCTGCCGTGTGCTATGAGGAACAGTTTGTCCGGACAGTGATACTACGGCCTACTCTTATTTTGAATTCCAATTGTCAAGGGTTCTTTTACGTACACGTCATCGTGTAAAGGGGATCTTTGTTTTCGGTCCCATCCGAACGCCCAGACACCTTGAGTAGTAAAAAATAACTTCTGAAAAACGCGCATTGTAAAAAAAAAAAAAAAAAGAAACCCTTGTAATATTAAAATATTAACTAAGTGCAGTTCAAGAATAAATACACCCTCTACTCAAATTGATCGAGAGGTTCCAATGTTCCATTACTTAAAATTCGGATTTATTGCAAACAAAATATACAGACAGGTTCCAAAGAGGCCAAATTCAGAAAAAAACCTTGTAATACTAAAATATTAACTAAGTGCAGTTCAAGAATAAATACACACTCTACTCAAATTGATCGAGAGGTTCCAATGTTCTATTACTTAAAATTCGGATTTATTGCAATTGCAAACAAAATATACAGACAGGTTCCAAAGAGGCCAAATTCAAAAAACAGTACTTTTATAGAGAGAAAGTTGAACGCAGCTGGCATAGATCAAAACATTATTTGTAATTAATTATAATTATTTATTCTGTTCCTTTTCAAACCTAACCTAGTTTAGCTCAAGATTAACCAAATTTAAACTTTCAAATGACTTTAACATAACCGCCTTTTTTTCTTTAACGGTGCGAATGATTTAAAACTGATGGTTCCTTCTACGAAATCCGAATCCCATTATTGTATAATATAAAACAGGTGGAAACTACAAAAAAGGTTTACAGAAACAAGTTTAATAGCTTATAAGACATTCAATCAACATTAGAATCGACCCAGACCCAAGTCTGTTACTAAGCATTTTACTGATCATCATCCGATTAAGCCACGCCAAAGATCCGACGCCAGCAACCAGAAATACACTTATTAAAGACTGGTCGATTAGTTTCTTAAATGCCACTAGTGCTTCAGTTAATCTTTAACGTCATTTAAGAAGAATAAGTCAATAGTCAGTAGTGGAAATCGAAATTTACAAAATTAACCCCAAGCCGCCTCGGTATAGAACTAAGCCGCTTTTGTTGGCGTCCTAAAAAAAATTAAGACTTTCTATTCGATACAGCTAATTTCTTTCAGTAGTATAATATCTTGTTAAAATAGAATTTTAATACGTGTTGAGAGTATTTCACCAACATGTTGTTTTGCGCATTTTATGTGCTTCACGACATACATTTTCGGATTTGTTAATACGTTGAGTGATGTTTAATTTGCAGAGATTGTATTACGAGTATTTCTGTTTTGGAAGTCGGGGTTGGGGGTTGGGGGGAGAAGAGACGACGTATAGTCGTTCGGACGGGACTAAAACCGAGATCCCCGGTATATATTGACGTCTACGTAAAAGAACCCTTAATAGTTGGAATTCGATATAAGAGTAGGCTGTAGTGCAGCTGTCTGGGCAAAATTTTCCTCATAGCACACTGTATGACGTATGCTCGTCTTCATTTGCTCAGTCGGAGCAGAACCGTAGGACGTTAAACCCCATTTCATTTCATTTCTGTAATGTACGAATGATGCCTTAATTTGTAGGCATTCCGTATAAATAAAAAAATATAGTATAAAAATGATGTGCAAGAAAACTGCGGTTGTTAGCATGTCTTTTTCTGGGTTATAATCTTGTCCATTAGAAACTTATTAACTACTTTACGTATGCACCCTCATTAAATCTACGCTAACAAAGCTTAGGATATAAACCCAGAAATTCAGAGGCACAGTCACCATTACCTCTTCAGGTGTATTCACTGTGGGAACAAGTGGCAAACAGAGAGAAAGTCCAATCGACACAAACTGGCGTTGGTAGATTTGTTATTGTTTGGGGTATAAGGCAGTTTTTCTCATATTTTTAGAGCAAAAGTACATCGTGCTTGACTTATTTCGTCTAATTAGTAAAATAATATGTACCTGATCAGACATAATTGTGTAGCAATAATATTTTCAGTAAGCTGATAGCGAAAAAACGTCAATCAGTCAGTAGGTAATTGATAGTTGAATAGCTAGCCGGATGTGGACACTGGTGCTTGACAAGGCATATACTGGATGTGGGCGTGGCCTGCCTCTTTTTTGTACGCCGTGATCAGTAGTCATGTTTGTTCTACAAATTGAAAACAAGTATGGCCACTGTTTAAGGCGTTAACTTTTTTTATTGAATTATTTCTGTAGTTTTGTAACAGCTTAAGTGACAAATATAACCCAAGACAGGAAGGGCAAGTTTCCAGTCTATCTGATTCAAATACAGATCTATATTTCGTTTCGGGTTGTTTTTTTTTAACTTTCGATGGCCTACACTACATGAAGATCTGACAAAATGTACTCGAAGGTCGTGTCAGGGGTCGTACGAGCGGCGTTTGACCCTATGACGTCAGACATTGATTAACCAATTAGCGTTGACGTTTCTAGTGGTTTAGCCACAGTTCCGTGCATAGCACGCCAAGAAGTCGCCGTAACAGACCGTTTCGTTGGCTTATCCCCCACTTCAACCAAAACGCCGGTAATATTACAACTCTTCCAGATCCTAGTTAACCCAGTTAATTCATAAATAGCACTGTTCCCACCATATGGATTGCACAACGCAGTTTTGTCAACAAGAGTGTTCTGTTTATGTATGCATTCTCGAGTTTACAGGGGGTACACATAAACATGTGATAATTATTTATCCAATAAATTTCTTCCAATCTTACAATATTCCACGGCTTTACTCCAAGGTTTATACGTGCTTGGCCATTATAATTTTGAGATACACAAACTTGAAATAAGTAACTTGAGAGTTGCTATACATGAACAAATCGTAGATGGTATCGAGATGATGAAAATTAATGGTGGGCTATTTCCATAAGAGACTGGAATAAACCCTAGAAAATTATTGTTCAAATAAATGGACATCAAAGACTTCACAAACTAATGAGCACTAAACATGTGACGATAATAACAAAACGACATAATAAAAAGAAAGAAATATATTGATCATCTTAGTTAATAATTACTAAAGCTATGTTTTTAATGACCTATTGGGCTTATTTATTAGATAAAATTGTATTTTGGGTCAATATTCACACATATTCTGTGGTCATTATCTTTATCTAATTTGGAACAAGACGTATAAGTCATTATAGGAATTGACAATTTTGTCCGCAGGGACATGCGTGGGATCAATATTAAGATTGGACAAGAAGGACACCTTGTCAAACAAGTACGGTTACAATACAGTTTTTTCGCTTTAAAATTGACCAAAAATTTTGAATTGCATATTTTTAACCCCACTCAAGATCTTGTTTTGTGTGTACTTGTTGACACCTTACTCAATATAATCCAAATATAATGTTGTTTCTTCGTTCTTCACTTATTAAGCTGATAAACTGGATTTATTTTCATTGATCCTTGACATTAGTAAAAGCCGCTATATTATTTCAATTTTCAAAATTTACCTAGTGGTTGGTAGTGTGCACGGAGTGCCTTTGCTCAGCTTTTTATGGAATTTGATAGGATTTGTCCTGTAGCGAGTTCACGTAGATAACAAATTTTTATTCACACTGACACTTAATTTAATTCAAACATTTAGGCCACACCAAATTAACGAAAGATCAAATTGGTGCAGTCATAATGCCCTATAATGTCTTGTAAACAGCTGTGACGTTTTGTCGCCTGTACTGTGTTCGTGTAATATCTTTCTTCTGAAAGAGAGAGATTATTGCCAGATTGGCGCCTAAATCGTCCAAATACATTCGAATTTCGAAGTCTTTTTAATTGTAAAAATACTGTTATATTACACAAATAATGCCGATTCATTAAAATCATTACATCAAAAAGTTAAACCCTTTGTTATACACTTAATATACACCACTATTCTTATTGTCACTATTACTTATTAATTACTTAATTGTTCGCAGATGTTATTTAAAGTAGCTAAGTCCGTAACTCAATATCATCAAAAATCTTCGACATTGAAAACACGAATTTTTTTGCAATTTAAATCAGCATTGATGTTGTGATCTTACCTGGAAAAGATTGGCTTCTGATATCCAATATTTAAGACAAAATAAACATTTTATTATTGGTACACGAATCGTGTACCATAATGCGTTTCAGCGCCATTTGTAACAAGGTGCTCAACGAATGAGGCTCGACATATTCCACAAGTCATGTCAAACGGTGATATCATATTCTTATTTGGAGAGCATGCGCAATAAATAATATCGGTGTTGACTGGAATAACCAGACGCTAGAAACTGACTTGCGGTTGAGACTTCTGGCGTATTTCGCCGAACATAACTGGTGACAATTCACAGTAAAACGGACACGATTGAATGTAAAACAGATTATATAAATTCATATTACATTATTATATGTGTTGCGACCCATTTGTGCCAATTTCTAGGTCCAAAATATTAGCGATTTAGCTCCTTAAAGTTCGAACCTTTGTATAAAAATTTGCATTATCTCAAGAACTATGTATATATAGTTTCGGAGAATAAAGAAGTTGACGTTGTTCTACACTGTTTATTAAACTTCTAACATCAGGGACTAAAAGGCAAATACAGCCTTTCAGACGACAATAAATAAACCAAATATTTTGGATTACTGTCATCTTTTACGCTCTCACACTGGCTATTTGCAGATTAAAGGATAGCTCCGTTCTACCCATGAAGTCATGATGACATTTAAAATATATGGATTTTATTTTTAGCTGAAGATTATTTTTCAAACCAGATTAATTTTGTTAAATTTCAATGAAGAAATAATTATTAGTCTCCTGGCGCATAGCGTCTGAATGTCGGGGGGGGGGGCTTTGAATATATAAAGGGGAATATGATATAAGGTTTTTCTTACTGGAATTCTGGGATATTCTCATTTTACGTACATGCACACATAGACAGTTTATAAGCAAGATAAAGTCCTCGACTTCGGTTATGCTGGGGAAGAAAGATTTCAGAAAAAAGCCTGCAGGCCTCGGGTTTTCTTTTTCACGGGTTATTTTCTTCAGTCTTTCTTTCCCCAGCATAACCCCAGTCTCGTGCTTTATCCTACACAGAAAGGTGGCTGTCTTCTATTGCCAATATGCCAGCTCTAAGTTGTGATTATTGAATACATCTAAGCTGACTTCCATCTTGTTCAAGTTTAAATTGTATTTTCTGACAGACTCTCGTGACAACGGGATTTATATTGTTATTACTGAATCGATGTCAGAAAACAAATAACTAAAATGTTTCTATCTATACACCTGATACACCACCATAGGAGTCTCGATCATTCCATCCAAATGAATATTCACCATATCCTGATAGAAAGTGCTGATTGAAACCTCATTCTTCCATTCTAGACCAAACATGTACCATAAAAGACGGGACAGGTGTGGCAAATATTTGAGCGGTACACACGAAATACCATGATGACCAGGAAGACAGTAAGCTGTCATATGCACAATAATATACAATGTTTTGTATATACCAATAATCCCTGTAGTCGAAGCAGAGACAAAGGTTGTAGCAAAATTCTGATAATATGTTTTTTTTTCTATTGAGTATGTCCTGCTGGGGTTCGACATATCGAGGTTTAACTGTATATAAGATTTATTTTCACTAATTACATTTTTCACGCCGTATAATCTACTGTAGTAATCAATATAACGTACATAATTATGATTATATACGAGTACTATCCTTTCGGTATTTAAAGACAAAATATGAACGTGGGTTTGCTTACCAGCAGCAAGTTTGTCTCTCGGAATTTCATTACGTTATGGCCTGGTTAGAAAACCCTGCACCGTAGCACACTCACAGGTTTAATTTGTAAACAAGAAAGAAAAGACAATCTGAGATATCAGAATTCTGCCCTTTTTAACAGAATATTGTGGATCATTTACAATAAACCACTACAGTTGACGACATATGAGATTTCGATACAAAAGGACTGTCTTCATTAATAATATTACTCTAGGTGGAAGCAACCGTTAACTCCTATTATACTACTATTCAATTTTACATTACCTTTTGTAGAACGACACTGTTTTCGTGATTTTGTAAAGCTCTATCTGTTTTACGTAATAATTCAGCTAGATCACCATGTACCATATATTCAAAAACCATATACGGCGTATCACCGACATCTGGAATAGTGCAAAAATGGTACATCCTGAGCAGATTGTTAATACAAAATACGAAGGCTGTAGACATTACAATTTTTTTCGTTAAAATCGATAGAAAATAATGTAATTACACAGCCAGTTGTGAAAGATTTGATATGAGGGCTGACGTTTTCATCTTTAAGTGGTTCAGAACCTTTTTAACTTTTCAGTCTGTCTAGCGAAGATCCCTGGAGCAATTCAACGCGCTTGTTATAAGAGCTCAAATGGCACTCTAGCCCGGTTTGTACTGTACCATTAAATTTTATGTGGATTCTGGAGAAATTGGACACCGTTTGGGTTGTTAGAAATATGGCTTTACAGCGATTACTATAACATTCCGTGGAGTTGGTAATGAATTACATAATTACTAGATGCTCAAGTGAATGATGTACGCATATAGAATTCATGCAGAAAACAACGAAGTCTGACAATTTCCTCCATAAAGCAAACCGACCATTCGCTTTAAAAAAGATCTTTGTTTTGTCACCACATGCACCCTGTCTGGCAAAACTCAAACTGACTCAAAGCAGCTGATTTGAAATTGGACGACAAAAGTATCGTCTGCATTAGGCTTTAATTTTATTTTCTGGCATTAGATGAACTTTTCTGTCACATAACTTCCATTCATGATACATAATTATACAAGTAACAAAGAAGTCGGGATTAAAAGGTCCCATCCACTTTGTTCAGTTTTGGGTATTATGTAATACGTAACAAAAGATAATACAGTTGTATAAGAATATTACCGATTTTGGCGGATCGGTCAATCCATACAACTATCGTAACCGTTGCCTATAGATATGAAATTAGTCAAATGTGTTTCTGACTTTAATTATGGGTGATTGTGCACGTAAAAAGAACAGTTTAATATACGCGTAAATGTCTGCAAAAAAAATTGTTTTACTCTATGCCGTACAAACAAATGGTCGTTGCTCATGTAATAAGATGGCATAGGTTTTTTTACCACTGTAGTCAACATTATTTATCATGTATATTACTTCAACCAATACGTATGACGTAAATGATAATAATTTAAGAGTATGGAGAACTAGTAGGGCTTTATAAAGATGATCTATTTGGTTAAGGCTGTCTCTTTTCTAGTGATTTAGTTATTGGTGTTATCAGACATAGTAATTAGGTTACAGTACAGAGGTTGGCGATTATGCTAATCGCAGACTGAATTCTCAGGCTATGTTTCTGATAAATTGTCGTATGATGTAGACACCAAGAGTTAATGACAATTCGTGTGAGTTAAAATTGATCAGTTTAATTGTTAAATGAGATGCAGTCTTTTACGATATTAGAAAACTGGTTCAAGTTTCTTAATTAGCTGTTAATTTGGCACGTAAAAGAACCCTTTAAAGTTGGAATTTGAAATAGGATAGGCCGTAGCGAAGTTGCCTGGGCAAAATTTCCATCATAGCATACTGTATTGCGTATGCCCGTCTTCATTATCCCAGTCGGTGTAGAATAGTAGGACGTTAAACTTCATTTCATTTCATTTCTGTCAATTTCTAGACAGCAAATAGTTTGCACAGAAAGTCTGCACTAAAGTGAATTTACTCGGAACACACTGGCTCTACTCGCGACGGTGTTTATTTGTGTACGATACGCCTCATGTTCGTCTGGTTGGATAAGAAATTAAATAGGGTTTATCATCCTACTTTTCTGTACCAATCCGGCTAATGAAGACGTACATACGCCATGAAGTGCGTTATGAGCGAAATCCATATGTTAGGGGTTCTTTTACGTGCACTTCAACACGTACATGGATTGACCTCGGTTTTTGTCCAACCCATACGGTTAGACGATTTTCATTGCCAGGCCCGCCATGCATTACTAACTAGGGGAAATCTGATTTTGAAACCCCCAGGAACTTCCTCGGCCAACATCGGGACTGTACCCGGGACTTTTGAACAACCGTGATTATGAACTGAGATTGAGATTTGCCCCTTAATTTGACCGAAACTTTGAATAACAGCCGTCAAATAATCTCTATTGACAGTTTTGTTTAATACATGGACTATACTACATGTAATTAACTTTTTTTTTGCATTGCAACACCTGCAAAAACTACATTGCCCTGCAGCTGAAGGTATAAATTGCGCACGTAGATGTAAATTGCTTTAATATAAGCTAATATACCCATCATGTTAATTACAAGACGCACACAAAACAGTCATTTAAATTGTAGTATTTATATTCACTTTAATCCAACGTAATAAAAACTGTCTAAAATACATTATGCATCTAAATTGGCAAAAACATCATCAAAATTCAGCTGACATCCTCAGCACACCAAAATCACAATATATGGAAATCTTATCAGAAAGTGGTTTTAATACATTGTAATGAAAGTTAATATAAATACAATGGTTTTTTTTAGTAATGCCTGTGGTGGAGACAAAACATTTGCAAAAAGTTCCAGGGTAGAAGCTAATCTAAATTACGTAATACAATGAAGCACTAGGTGAGAATAACTTACTTTCTGTAACTACGCCAATTAGACGTAAAATATTATCGTGATCAAAAGCACCCATTATTTCTACTTCACGTTCAAAATCTTCACGTATTTCATGTGAAACACCGTCTTTTAATACTTTAACTGCTACATTCTGTAGTGTAACACCATCATCATCGGTTAATTCACCTATAAAAATTTAACATTTGATGAATTTTATTAACAATTGAATATTATGTTATTTGCCCGCACTATAAGGGAGTCGGCATTTTTTTTCGTGTTGTAGCAATGATAGTCTCACTTATGTACCTGTCTTTAGACGTGCGGTTATCGTAGGACCATTGATAGAATTTCGCGGGAATTCTATTACACGTTTGGTTACAGATGGCCCCCTTTATTAAAGAAGATTTTTACCCCCCCCCCCTTAAAATGTGCAATTGCTTTTTAAATAATAAAAATGTAATTAAAATTAGACTATATTTTGTGTACAAGCCAGCCCATTCTACACGAAGGTGTTATTATATTGGGTGATTGAATAAACACGAACAAGTCTTCAAATTGTACATTTTTTTAAACTTTTGAGATATATTTTAGAGATCTGGCCTTTTTCTAACACATCAGAATTGATTTTAGTCCACAAAACAATTTAAGGTAAAGATTTCTATAAGATTTATAACCTATACATACACCTGGGCATTAAACTAGGGTAAAATATATATCAACTTCTTATTGAATAGTATAAATACAAATCTACGAATTTAAGAAGTTGGAACAATACGGAACCTGATTTCTAAACCAATCCACATACAGACAAAACGCAATTAAAACGTGTACTATCGACTAATTGTATATCTAGCAAAATCTATATACAAAGTCCCAAGTAGCAAAATAATCTATCAAAGATTATAATCCGGGTCACGTTTCTGAACTGTACCTCAGATTCTCCCATCTTTGTAATTAGGTTAAGGGGTTATTTCGTCTGAGTAAGTCCATTTATACTTTCTACTAGATATCTATATTTTGGGATACGAAATATCAAAATATCAAATATTCTATAAATAGTTCAAAATAAAAATAAAACTAAAACGCTTGCCTCTGAAAACTTGACCGAATGCTCCCTCTCCAACAACAACTAAAAGTTTCAAGGTATCAATTGGCAGTTCATTGATGTTTAAGTTTCGCCCATTTTCACCATTTTGCGAAGCACTAAAATATGTTGGATTTTTCTGAATATTGTTCATTCGTTCCAGTAATTGAACATTGTCATTGTTTTTGACGACACCGTCAGAGCCGCGTTTTGATCGAAGGCGCATTGTTTTGTATCTCTTTAAACACACAACAGTAACAAGAAAACAGAGGAATAAAAATACAGTTATTGGTAAGACAATCTGTAGTAACATCCATTCGGAACTATAATTTATAGGGCGGTCATGTAATCGGGACATTGACTGAAAAAGAGAAGACGTGAAACGTATTACAAGACATGTATAATATAATATAGAAAACTTCTGAATATGAGATTCGGAAAACCCCATGTATTTTTGGATATGAATCCTGTTGCTCGGGATTACGCCTCGGAAAGTTTTATTAACCTATTCGGTGACCCTAACTGGATTACGCCCCAGGCAGTGTTATTAACGGGATTACACCACGGACAGTGTTATTAAGCTCTTCGTTGTCTTTAAGTTCAACTATGCCGTATATTTCTTATCAGTGGCATATCAAATAGTGTCTTTATGTGGTTTAGACGTAACAAACGCGACCGGATTACATGATGCGATTCACGGGAACGAAGCTGATTGTAAGAAAGGTTTCCGGAAGTCATGCTTTACGCCTGATTACTGGAAAGTGGAGCACTCCGCCCGATATTATTAATCTCACCAAATAATATGGTATTTCTGTTTAAACGTTCATTAGTGATAGATATGAAAGGGGGGCCCTTTAGACGAATCAAAACATATTTTTATCTTATATGGTATAAGAATAAAATTTTAGCCGTAGATTTTGCTTTATCTCTTTTGGGGGCTTGGGTGTGTGTGTGTGTGTGTTTGATGGGGGGGGGGGGTGCTCAATGATCTAAGGCGTGCGCGTTAGATCATATAGTCTGTCATAGAGTGGCGTGGTTTCCATTCCCTGCTTGTGCATGACAAGGACTAGAGTTACCTGTCCAACATCGTGGGTTTTCTCCAGGTACCCCGGTGTCCCCCACTGCTAAAGAACCCTATTGAAATGAAATTGAACCATGAACAGAATTTAAGTTCCGACGTAGCAGCCTGCATATTGTTTATGTTGGTGCATTACTAATTTTGTAATGAATAAATTTCGTACACAATGGTGAGATTCGTTTGTCGTATATGCCACCAACTTCGGAGTCGTTTAATACTGACTTGGTGATAGAGCTTACTTCAACTGTAATTGTCAAACTGGCATTTTTTATACATTTAAAAGGCACATACAATAAGAACATCGGGATTATATTATCTTTTAACTCTTGCTTTAAGCTATACTGCAAACTAAACTGATTCACACTTTATCTAGAAAGAACATTTCCTACCTCATTTGAAGACAAATTTTTACTGGAATGATGAACTATTTTCTTCAATATTTCATGATGTATTGTTCCATCGGGTATATGATTGGTAGACAGATCAACTGAAAAATAAACATTTTTAAATATTATACACGTATGTCAAAAATGGACTTCAAGTAGAAGCTGGTGTTACATATGCTTTTAAATTCTTATCATGTGATGTTTACAAAATTAAACAGCTACACAACAACTCTAAGCTATCTCGATATTTTGATCGATATAGTAGAATTTGTCGATTCTTTAACGGTTGTTGGCTAAAACAAACGAAGTTAATAACCCAGCCAACCATATTTATAGTTGAGTGATCACAAATGTAATTGGTCGTATATTTTCCTGCTAAAGTTGCTATATTTTCCATAAAGGATATTTTTAGAAGATATTAAATCATTAGAAACATTGTTTTGTGTTTATATAAGCAAAATAACACTTTAGTGAAGAAACATTTTACATGTATTTCTAAAAGTGTTACTGAATCTATTCGTCTGGTATTTGAGAACAATTATAAGCCTATTAGCTTAGAATAAGAAGTGTTAATAACATCCATAAAAACATGTTTTTAACACATACAACACCCTAATGTTGTTTATTTAACTCATTAAGCATTATCTGGGAGTATTCAGTTGTATTCTTTATACTCCAGGGAGATACTATTCTTTGCTGGATGGTGACGTAACTGACTTTCTTTCGCGACCAGGAAAGATATTACGACGATGAACAGCCAAATATGGAATCACGTTGTACAATTGCGTGCATTCCATATCTCGACAAATACAGCTCAGATATAACAGGAGCCATTCTATATTTGGATTTCAAAGATTAAAGTAGCTAAGTCTCTAACTCAATATCATCCAAAATATTCAACATTGAAAACACAAATTATTTGTCAATTTAAATTAACATTGGTGCTTGTGATCTTACATTCATATTACAGTATTACATGAGTTCCACCCACTTGTGTCAATTTCTAGGTCCCAAATGTTAGCGATTTAGCTCCTGTAACACAAATCCATCGCTATTTACGGAAACTTTCATTCATTGTAATTCGGCTTATAACCTTATCCAAAGTAATATGCACGACGTTAATGTGTCCTTTTGTATTCGAGACAAAATAACATATATATGATATTTTCGTAATAGCTAGTTTTGCAGTGTCGATCCGTCCATAAGTAACCGTGTCATATGACCCGACGGGATACGGACAAGGTTGTTTCAGAAGACCGCAACCAATAACTTCAAATAGGTTTCTGAATTGTGGTGACCATAAATAACCCGTCAAGTAAGAATTTGATTATATATGAAAACGCACAACTGTTTTCGCTGCATTTATGTAATTCTCTGAGGCCACGGCGGCTTGGTGATTAGTTGGTGATGCGCTACCCTGACAGTCGTCCTGGGTTCGATCCCGGTGTTGGCGGCCCTTGTCAGTGGCACAGGACGGAGGGCCCGACAAGGACAGCTGGAAAAACGACAGTTCGGATGGGACGAAAAACCGAGGCCCTTGAACATATTGACGTGCATGTAAAAGATCCCTTCGCATTTAGAATTCGATATAAGAGTAAGCCGTAGCGCCACTGTCCGGGCAAAAATCCCTGACAGCTAGAAAGATTAGACAACAATAGTACACGATATGGCGTATGCCCGTCTTGCTTTGCCCAATCTGTGCAGAAAAAACACCACTTATTCCGGCAGGACGATTTACCCAATACTACCCAATATCACCCAATATTAATTAAATACTACCAAATACATCACATACTACCCTAGTATTCTGAAAAACAAACGTAATACTTCAATTATATAAACAAAAACTGAATTATTTCGAGGAATTAGCAAAATGTTTACGATAAACTGGAAAAATCGATTTAAAATATCAGTACACGGTAGCTCAAGCGTCTGAAAGTCTAACCAAATATGACCAAAATTTACATAGAATTGGGAGATATTAAATATCTCCCAATTCTATCCAAATATCTCCCAATTCTATCCAAATATCTCCCAATTCTATCCAAATACTACAAAATTCAACCATATACTGCCTTATTATTATCCAAAACTGACAGAATTCTGCAATTACTATAATATCAATGAGTTAATTCCTATAATTAGTGCAAACATTTGAAATATCTCTTTATAGTATGATTAATAAATGAAATGGCTAAACATTGAATAAATAATTTATTTTCCACAAATAAACGTGTTGTTGTTCAAATAATTGGGTAATATTGGCACATTATTTTACTGCAATGATTTGATTTCTGATAGTATGAGTTATTAGTATTGGGTGATCAAGGGAGGTAACTGGAACAGCGACACATAGGCCATCATATTTACAAGTTTTCAACGAATTAACTCAGTTACTTTATACAATTAAAGTATTCTGTTAGTTTTTCACCGTATTGAGAAAGTATTTGGTGGTATTCGGTAGTATTGGGTAAATCGTCCCACCCCTTCATTTAATTTCATGTATGTAGTTCATTTCTCTATTTTCTTTTCTCTTTTTTTCCTGTCTCCCGGGCTCCAATATATGTTAACTACATTTAGATAAAATTGACTCTACGGATACGCACGCGCACACTGACCATTTTAATATAGATTTCTCAAAACGTGATTGTAGATTCCTGGCAATGGTTTATGTTCATTCAATCATTGGCCAGAAGTTTCATTAAATAGGTTGCTCGACACAATTTGTTCCACTTAAAATCTCTCTTAAGGCCAGTCAGGGAGTATTTAGTAGGAAGTCATTCTCGTAAAGGTCAAATGATTACGCGATTTATTAAATCCAGTTCGGCTCTGACTAGCAGCTGTATGGAAAACGCTGGCTAGTAATTGCTAACCACGGAGGGCTATGATGTAACTAAGAGATGCGTACGGAATATCATTGATGTCGGAGACAATAAATCTAGGAAGTTTTCTTTTTTTATCGACATTAACAATTTATTGTCTTATTAGTTAATTGTTATGTGTTTTTTGTTCAAGTGATCAGATAGTTGACTATTAGACAATAATTAAGGAATGATTAAACCCAATTTCATTACGCCTTAACATAGAACATTTAGTTTTAGACTACCTGTTACTTGTATAGGTAATTTTTACTTCAATATGCTTACATTCATATTTCATGTGTCATACAGCAGATCATTACTCATGCTGGTATTACACAATGGTTTTCTCTGGGTTATATTCCTGATTGTTTTCAATTTTGAGTAAAGTCTGTATATCACTACAGGCCCGGGACTGTACAACGCAATGGACGCTTACGGTTAGCCCCCGGACCCATTCACTTAATTTGATATGTTCGTTTGTTTGTGATTTCTGCGTATTGTGTCTTTTCCGTAGATTTGTTTTGTGTAAATTATGTGTGGTGCAGCCCCCCCCCCCGCACTTACTATTTGATTACAGCAGACGCGATACTTCATTGGTCTTTGGTTGATGCCAGTGTGTTTGAATGTCCATGACATTTTGTTATGTATGTGGGAGCCACGGTGACTCAGTGCACGTAAAAGATCTTTGACAGTTGGAATTCGGTATAAGAGTAGGCCGTAGCACATGGGTACGGGCAAATTTCTCTCATAGCACACTGTATTCATTAGCCTAGTCGAAGCAGAACAGTACGACGTTAAACCCCATTTCATTTCATTTCGTTATGTATACGAGTACAGTTAGGTCAGGTCTACAAATAAATGAGGCAGTGCCTTCTAACGAACATCACAAATTTGTAAGCAGAAATCTGACAGCTGTCTGCTGCAACAAAAATAGGTTGATGGAAAACCTGACTGACAAATCAACGATTTCCTTCTTTAAGATTCCCGTATCATCCGAACTACATTTTCCCTGTCAAATCGCAGACGTTGATACTAATGAATTTCAGAACCTATATACGCAAGGCTTTAGCCCTTATTCTTTATTCTTTATTTTTAGAAAACTTCTACCAAAACGTTTACCGTCTTTGTCCCTGACTAGAATTTGTAAATGTTTTGAATAAAGTGAATGTCTTAGAAAGTATAGGAGTTAGCTATACTGACTACCGACAGATGATATACATAAATCAAATTACAGATTCACGATCACACTACTGGATTATGTATCACTGTTATCAGATTTAGGTCTCGTTTCATTCCAATTTCCTTTAATTAATGTATTCTTTGTTTCTGGAGACTGATTTAAAAGTATACACGGAACGTCATTTGGAGATTTTTGATCGATCCCACAATAACTTTATGTCATCATTTCGTATGTCCCAGATAAAATAAAATCAAGGCTAATTCACAATTGGGTTATTGTTTCAATAGAAAAACCGCAAAATTTAACTAATTCACCCTCTACGTACTTAATTTATGAAAATTGCTAATTACATATGAGCAGCCCACTTGTGCTTTGAATATATTTAATTTACAGCTAACTCTAACTTTAATTCCAAGTGTTCCGTTTAGCGATAATCTGAAATACAATAATCTGAGCATAATAAAACAAGTGAATTATTACAGAGCGGACGTTGCTAGCTTAGTAAAAACATTACTAACACGTTACTAGGTAACGTCAGGGTCTGTTCATTCATCCTCTTTCAAGTTAAATCTACAATATTAAATATCTAAAGTAGTAACAAATGTTTTTCCGGAGAGTTTGGATAGTTATGTATTAAGATTAGAGAATGTCCATTAAATATATCATTAACAACGACAACCCCAAACATTACTATAAAAACTTGTATACCTAAAGCTTCTAGATGCAGAAAAAGCAACCAATGTTGGGATTAAAATTCACATAATGAAAATGTAGAATGTAATACGTTACATTTTGAATTAAATGTTTAACAAAATGCTGATATCTGTCACAAGAAAAATTGATTACCAGAATAGCAGGATTTTATATTTTTTAAAAGTTTTATTAAGATTCCAATATGTAATTTACTCCAGTATATGTGCATAACATTTTTATATATTACAGCGACATTTTAAAGAGATCTTACTTTAAAACTGAAACTAGTACGTACATTTTATATTTGCGATATGTGGAGTTTATTGTTGAGAAAGAGAGAGAGAGAGAGAGGGAGAGGGAGAGAGAGAGAGGATGGGGTTTAACGTCCACTCGACACAAACTAGGTCATTTCGGGACTAACATATGGTTCAATTTTATTTCAATAATTCGCTTGCGCGTAGGGGTCTGTAGCAGTGGGGGGGAACCGGAGGACCCGGAGAAAACGCAAGAGGTTGGACAGGCGACCCTACTCCTTGTCACGTACACCCGGGGAATCGAAACCACGCCAGTTGGCTCAATGGAAGACCTTATGATACAACGCGCACGTGCTAGCCATTCGGCCACCCCACCCCCTCCTCCTATTGGGTTTTTTTTTGGCAATATATATACTATAATTACAACTTCGGACGTCAAATTATTGTATCTTTAAGCCTTGCACGAACGATCTGGGTTTTTTTCTAGTTTATTAAAGAATACTTCTTACTTTTCAGCTTGATAAGAGATTATCTTTTAAGAAATGGGGATTATACATATAGAGGGTGTTTTATATTCTCTAAAATCTTTAAAATCAATTTACAATGTCAAGATTTTTGAGGGGGAATCAGAGAATTCAATACTGCAGTAATAACTGTCAAGAGAGACGATAATCAAAGATATGATGGGAAAAGAAATCAAGGAATGCTATAATCCAACAATAAATGGAATCATATCTTTCTGATACTTCTTTAGTGTGATCGATAATGATTAATAATCACCGCTTCTGGCACAACTCTCTTGTGATTTGGCCGGAAATAAATTCTTCGCGCTCTTGTCGCTCAGTGTTGTTTGTGATTCAGCCAAATTTGCGTTCCCTGCAATGTACCCGGGAGTATCAATGAAGGGCGTAGAAGCTCTGATAAGCGTTTAAACGTTTTCTAACTGGTTATAGAAAATATACATTTGACATTATGATTTAAGGTAATTGTACGTGACGCATTTACTTAATTTATACTAGTTACAGTATCTCGTTAAAAATACTAAATAGTTCGTTTGATGATAAGATATTCTTGAAATGGTTTAAACACATTCCATTTAGAGATCAAAATAAGGATGAAAGGGTTATCTAAAGAGAATGAGACGGATTATGCAGAAGCTACTATCCCCTTTATTCTACCACCTACAAGGAAATACTGAGATTAACTGTATTTCAGCTTTTCCATTTTCTTTTAATTAAAAGATAACAATCCAATTTTGATTTAAAAGAAATGTATTCCCCATGAATGTGAATAAAAGAAATGAACTAAGTTGATGTAAAAAAAGACAAGTCTTGAAAACTATCTAATGGAAAGATATCTCCAGTTTTAGAACGCGAATGAACAGATTAAATGGACAGTAAAGCATATCAGCGATTATTTATCGACTGTCGAAAAAAGGACAGTTTCAAATGTATTTGTGTTTCGCTTAGTAATTTCAAAAATAGAACTTGGTTAAAATAATTACATGTAAAAAAAAACATATATTATTGTCATACCAACATGCTCGATTTTTAAAATAATATATGTTTTTTTTTAAATACATTGAGTATTATATTGAGAATACTAGTTTAATTCGTATCTTTATTATATTTTCAGGTTGAGCCTCCTTTTTAAAGCTGTCTTCTGAGTGCATTAAGAAGTTAAAGTATCAGTACAAGTGTGCTGCAATTGCCGCTTAGTGATTCTTCAAAATGTGAAGTAATCCTATCAAATATAAACACTACTCTTTGTAGAGCATTCTATTTATCACTTGTCATTTACGTGGGAAATTCGTCTCATGCAAACCGATCAGATGCACTTTTCTTGTCATCCCCGAAGACGCCACCGCTGACAAGCGAGTACCAAGCTTGAAAAATCTTAAGGGGGCTTCTCTGCCCACGCCAGGATTCGAACCTGGACTATTCTGATTGTTAGTCCAGTGTCCAAACCACCGAATCCTCCAGTCTTCACATTACCATTACATGTGTTGGTTTCGTAATGACTTTACACCATTCAGAAGACTAGACAGCTGTTGCTTAGCAGTCTCCTGTTGTAATCTTGAAAATATTATGTGTCGTAATAAGAACGCGCCCTTTAAGATTCAAGACACCCACTGTGCCTTTTTTACACATAAAATCACTTCTGTCAGACATATATACTTGGTTAATATCAATACGCATGTATGAATAATTAATTTGGTCTGAAACGAATACCCCCGTATCTCAGAAGTTGGATTAAAAGTAATCCTCCGAGATTTCTCATAACAAGTGCATCGTTTCGTATAACATATGAGCATAAAGCCATTCCTAATTCAATTTTCTTCTACTATTCCAGCATATCAATACCCATAAGAAAAAATCAATGTCTGATAGAACATTTAATACCCCTAAAATTTTCTTTTAAGCTAATCCTCAAATTTCATTTAATACACTTAAAGCCTACGTTCGTTATCGGTGTCAATTTTTCATGACGCACTTTGCTATATTTTTACACGTCCTACATTATTTCACACTTACTGCATTCCTTCTACGTCATTTTGTTAAACTGATCAATATATTAAAAAAACAATATATTACTTATACAACATTAGTATGGATTCAGGGGAAATAAATGCCGATACCAACCAATACGTACCTTTAATGGAATTTATTCAAAATGAAAGTGTACATAATAAATGTTCTATGTTTTATGATTCCAAAAATGTTCTATATTTTATGGTTCCAAAATTGAAAGAAAAAGACATCTTCTTTCAAATGTCCCACTAAAATGTATACAAAAAGTTATTCTTGATTTACACAATAAGCACGACTCAGTCATATCACCCTCTATTGGCTAGATTTGCGATCACTATTCATAAAGTTACTGCTAGTCTGCTTGTGATGTGGGCCAAAATAGTCACAACATAAAACAAAATAAAACTGAAAAAGAGAGACAAATTTGGATTGGTTTACTTAAAACCAGCGTTTCATTACGGATCAGGGTATTGACCATGAGCACGTTTTGTGGATTTATACACGGACACATTATTAACACTAACACTGGCACTCAGCCATACGACAAAAGACTGTCTGCTTTGAATACGTAGCTGCGGGGAAATGAAAATTACCCTATATTTCAATTGGTCTCATAGGGTAAAACTGTATTGTTAAAGTTTAAAATCACAATAACTACGATTAGAACTTGTTTGAAGAGTTTCTAATGCCTTTATTTATTCTTAATAACAACTGAACATAGCCTTAAAACGATACAGCCACCTACAGCTGGTTTGAAAAAAACTGTGAAATAAACGTGTATATAATTTTCTCGTGGTAATCTATATTTATTCAAAGTAAAGATAAAATTATGTACGTTATAAAGAAAGATCAATTGCATGTCTTCAGACAATTTCAACTGTTTAAAAGGTTAAATCACTTTACAATAGTTCAAGATTGGAGGTTGTACATATTTAATCATACGGTTTGCGTAAATAAGCCCCCAATTGAGTGTTGAAATATGTTTTGAATTGGTTTTTAAAACCAGTTTTATTTTTTTTTTAAAAAAACGGGCCCATTCGTTACAGATTTTCTTTAAATATGTTATGCATTATCTGATATTGAAACGGTTTCAACTATGCTTAACCCCAGATTTATACGTTATTCTATTAAGCAACTGAATTTTCGAGAGACCGTCCAGTTGTACGATACTGTAATAATTTTATTCGGAAAACCATAGACGAACCTACACGTAACATACCTGAATATGGAATATGAAGCAGTCTTAATTAGGCTGAATATAGACAGAATTTGAAAAATCAAACTTTTCTCTTTGAAGTTTCTTAAATTTAAAATAGATACTACATTAATTTTTTTTTATTTGGGTTACAATTTAGGGTATTGATGAATCGTTCAGATACACATTGACATACCTTTAAAATATCGCCTTAAACATGTTACTCTCATTCGTGAATATATTACAATAATATAATTCCATAAAACCCAATACTGTGCAACATGATGATAAGTGATCTTGTACTACATCTCAATATAACAAGAAGTGACAAAAGTAATACATATTTTATAAGATATCCAATTTAGATTTGAAGAAGGCGAAGAGGATTCATTATTATTAAGAAATTACATATCGAAGTTCAAATATTGGCTATAGGCTTTTATATCGTTTACTGTCTTTATCAATTTGGTACAAGACGGAACAGATCAGTAGAAATAATTGGAGACGATTTCTCCGGATTGATCGTTTAAATATCAAATAATATTGGATACACTTTATATTTTATCCCAGGAATGAAAGCGAAAAACAAAGCTAAACACGTTGTATTTTTTTTTTTTAAAGGTAATAACACACAAAAATTGAAGAAATTCTATTCTGTTTTATAGATATCCCGAAATTACACGTGGTTATATATTTTGTTCTGTTCGGGTGTCTCAGTGGATTAGACGTTGGCTCGCTAACCTGAAGGTCCCGTGTTCTATCCCTGTGTTGGCCGAGAAAGTTCAGTGGTGGAGATGGGGCCTCGGATGGGACGAAAAACCGAGGTCCCATGTACACATTGATGTGCATGTAAAAGTTCACTTGACAGTTGGAATTCGAAATTTGAGTAGTGCCGCTGTGCGGCCAAAATCCCCCCCCCCCCATAAACTGTATGACGCATGCCCGTCTTCATTAGAATAGTTGGATGTTAAACCCCATTTGTTCTGTCCTATTACAATTCCTATTTTTTGATATAGCTGGAATTGGTAGGAACCCTATCTAGAGCCATACATGTGGGTCACTGTTTCGCGGAATATACTGCCGCTGTCACAGAACCTTTGTAAATACCTAAAACCATATGTTGTCACGTACTTAGTTCACTACACAAAGCTGCCGAGGAGCGTATATTCGTCTGCGTTGTTTAATTTTCGAATTTCTATACTATGAATAATATCTTATTTTGATAACTTACATGAAGTCGTACTGGAAATTAGTAGAAGGATTTAGCGAAACTTTATACACTGCAGTTATGGACAATTTCTTAAATGTACAAGGTGGCTATTGGATCTGTTATAGATCTTTATAAAAATAATAACTAACCTAGTTTTGATGCTCCACAAGTTCCATTTATATTTGGTTTAGTTAGCGTACTAACACACATACACTGCCATTTACTTTCCCATATAGTACATTCCGCACCATCCTCACAACTCCCCTTATCACAGTCCCTTTCTATATCTTCATCTACAATACATAGAATAGAAACATACAAAAATAATAACAACTATAGATACTATAATAATCTTAATAAATAGATACGTGTGCCATTCCCGTGACGTAATTAACAAGTTTTTATTGTGGCTACTTCTCTAAACCCTTGTCCGGGTAGTAGAGGAATGGTGGTGCCTCCAGACTGCACGATATGTACCAAATGAGGGGGATACTGTCCTCTTGTAAATACTCAATTCACTTAAAATGGTCGTTATAGATGGATTTGTCCATATCCAATTATCAACAGACCCCATTCTGATCATCCATTACAGATAAAAATGAGACCTTCTTTGTGGTAGCAAAAGAGTTGATAATGGAGTGTGGAGTTATCCTGGATTAAGTGGTCTTCTCTGTAATCATTAGGGTCATTGGGTAGTCTAGTAATTTAATGCGTGCGCGTGTAACCACAAGGTCTGTCATTGAGTCAAGGTTTCGATTCTCTGATTGTACGTGACAAGCAGTAAGGTCGGCTGTAAAACCTCGTGAGTTTTCTCCGGGTCCTCCGGTTTCCTCCGATTGCTGAGGACCTCTACGCGCAATCGATTTATTGAAATTGAACCATATTTTAGTTTAGTCCCGAAATGACCTAGTTTGTGACGAGTGGACGTTAAACCCCATTTCCCTCTCTCTGTGTAATCCTTACTTAAACACAACTTCCAGAATACATGTGTTCGATTGACCTTTTATGTAAATAAATAAATTGTATTATGTTGTCGTCAATGTCCGTCCGTACATACATCGTCGGTCCGTCAACAACTGGTTTGTGAAGGTGATAGAAGCTACGGTTTTTGACGGATTAGGTGTGAAGCATTGAGGCCACGACGTTCCGTTCCGTTGTTACACCCACACTCTTTCATGAATGCTCTGTGAAAGCGATGCAGGCTGCGATTATTTTTTTGTAAGTCAATTGGGTCCTGACACGACGAACACCATCAATATTCAGCGTTCCGCATATCTTCTGTTTTGTGTTCAGGAGTACCCCGGCACCTTACCGAAAAAGTTTTGAGTGCGATAGAGGCTACCGTTTTTAACGTATATTCTTTTTCAAATTTGGTACCTAGCATTGTATCTGAACATCAATTGGGTGTGTGCTCTCGGCAGTCAGTGCTTCATATCCATTAAAATCCGTAGCCTCTAGCGCATCCACAGCGTTAACGGAAAAGTGGAGGCAATTATAGAACGGACACGCCAATTATTGACAGACGTACAGACAGACGGACCGACGGACTTTGTGACAACATAATATGTCCAAACTGAAATATGGTCGTACAAGTAATAATTACTGAACATAGCATATATATAGTTAAAAGATCCAACAGAGACATACTTCCCAAAAAATATGTTCCATTCACAGCTTTTTATTTTAACTACCGACGGACGGCGTACACGTAGCAAACCATACTTAGTTCACAAAGTTTATGGTACTCTTTTATTGAAATCCAGATGTAAAGATTTTATAAAACTTTTCTGGCGCTATCAAGTCGTGAAGACAGAACAAAAAGATTTAATAAGAGAGGTAGTCTGCAAGTATTATCAATAGATTCTCCTATATTGCGGTTAATATAATTTAGTTGAATATATTTTGTCGGGAACACGTTTTACCATAACACTGATCCGATTGGTAATTCAATGATCTTTTCCTATATTTTCTGCCTTATTTTTCTTGTTCGTTGATGTAAGAAGGGCTTTATTTCATTAGAAGAAAAGCCTGACATTCAATATGGTACAGTAGATACTTTAATCTTATATCTGCCACTATACAGAGGTAACCAAAATATGTCTTGTCAACTGCTAGAAGAAAACGCAGTTATGTCGTCACAATGATTGCAATCTTACTCCATACCATTGCAAATTTGTTCTACACGTGACTTAAATTAATGACGTTATCAAGTGAATGCTATTCCATCTAAAAAAAATAAAGCTGTTTGTTAACCAATGCTGTAAAATTGTATATCTAGGGGGTTTTATGGTCAACAATTTTTTTCACAGGGGGCGGGGGCGAAACGTTTTGCAGGGGCCCCTCGCATCCCCCTAGTTACGGGTCTGGAGAAAACGTATGATTATATTATAAACGATAAGCATATAATTACAATAAATACTTATAGGGCTTTATATGGATAGACTATATGTCTCAACATAAAATTATATATATAACATGCAATTATTGGGGGAAATTTAGATTAATTAGTAGAGGTTTATGGAACTGGTTATAAGCATGGCCAAATGGAATCGGCCATCTTGCTTAAATGGCGCAACCAGAAGATATGATTCTTCGGGTTAAACTAAAATGAAATAAACTTATCATAGAGAGTCAAATCAAGTGAAAAGATCTATCTCGATTAATCAAAAAACTTCAGTGCCATTTTTGCCAACCCTCGTTTAAGAAAGACGTATAAGGTTAGCTAACTATTCGGGCAGAAAGTTTAATATTTTGAATAAGCGTGTGCAGTCGTGCTTAATTGAATTATTGGGATCTACAGTGTTAGCTTAAACTGTTTACTTCATCACGAAACATTCTCGTCTTATTTATGGCAATAAGTCTAACCAATAATAAACACAATTATTAAAAAAAGCACATGTAAGGTTAAACCTATTCAATTTTCAATTCGTCAGAAACTTGATAAATAAATAGCCACGTAAATGAAAGATTTTTTATTTAAAATTCCAAAACATTCAAATTTGGGACTATAAATTTTCAAACAGCGTAACCAGGTACATTTTTGGTGTTTTGAATTTGTCATATTCCCGACGAAATAAGAACCAAAATTTTAGCAGGTGTTCCCGAAGAACAAGTAATTAAGTTGATGTTGCCTAATTTGTCAGACACAAATACCCTGTCTGTGTTAACAGTCTGTGCAGTGGCGCTGCAGCTTTATTTATTATACTAAATATTAAATAGTTTCCAGACGTTTAAAACCAGATGTGCTTAGTAGGCACCCAAAGGCCAAATGATGAGGGTTTTTTTATACATAGTTTGAACTTGGATTTCAGCAATCTACGTCTACCTAACCGGCTAAATATATACTTTGCATTATGTTTTAAGAAATCTACTCTACCTAGCCGGATAAATAGCTTGGGTTAGGTTTTAAGAAACCCACTTCTATCTAAGCGGATAAATAGTTTGGAGTTGTTTCAGAAATCCACTTCTACCTAACCGGCTAAATAGTTTGGGCGTGGCTTTCAGAAGCCTACTTCTACCTTTCCGGACCAATAGTTGGATAATTGGTGGAAACTAAATTCAAACTAACTAACCAACCGGCTAAAAAGTTTGGAATAAGTTTTCATAAACCTACTTCTACCTTTCCGGACCAATAGTTTGATAATTGGTGGAAACTAAATTCAAACCAACTATCCGGATAAATAGTTCGGAATAAATTTTCAAAAACCAACTTTTTACCTAACCCCATAAATAGTTTGGAATTGTATTTCAGAAATCAATTTCTACCTCTAAATAATTTGGGCGTGGTTTTCAGAAATCGACTTCTACCTTATTGGATCAATAGTTTGATAATTGGTGGAAACTAACTTTAATCACTATATCTGAACATCAAATCTCTGATTGTCAAGGTCAACTGAGTTTATGACAGTTCTTCAATCGATTATAACACAATCACAGTGGCGATTGTAAAAGAAATTCCTTTAATTAGGAAACGTCCTTTATTGCCAGCCAGAAAGGTTAAATTGTGATGGTATATCTAAAGACCAGATGGTACTGACAGTCAAATTAGTTTCAAACAAAAGAACTCGTGCCGTTCCAAATTTTCTACGCCAGAATTGTTGCTATCTACACACAATTCCTAAAATCGTCCATAAAATGCTCCTTTAAAAATCTTCCATAAAATGCTCCTTTAAAAATCTTCCATCTTTAAAAATCTTCCATAAAATGCTCCTTTAAAAATCTTCCATAAAATGCTCCTTTAAAAATCTTCCATAAAATGTTCCTTTAAAGCTGTAATGTCATATGATGTCTTGTGGTTACAGAGAGAGGGACATTCTTCTCCCTGTTAATATCGTTCTCACTAGGTGAAACAAAATAGCGCCCAGATTAACTATTAGTACACGGGGCAGAATATACTTACATGGCAGCATTGTTTTCTGTTTCACTATTATAATTGCATTGTTGTATTACATATTACATTCTTCTTCATAGCACTTTTTGGGAGCCGGTGGTGGTTCGGTGTATAAGACGCATGCTCTTTAACCAAGTGGTCCCGGGTTCGATCACAATGTTGCTCAAGAAAGTTCTTCGGGTTTTTCCGGCGTAATTTAGAATCTGGCAAGGAATTTCATCTTGTTTTTCGGATGGGAACAAAATGAGATCCTCCGTACACTTTGAATCCACGTAAACAAGTCCTCCAGATTCGAAATAAGAGTAGGCAGCAGCGTCGTGGTCCGGGCAAAATTTCACTCGTGGCACATTGAATAACGCATACCCGACCTTGTTTGTCATAATTTTGCATTCTAAAGTCAAATAATAACAACATGTATGCCTACGCACATGTATGTGATATTTATTTTAATTTTTCACGAGACATTAATAGAACTTTATTGCTAATATATGTTATGTGAATCAATCTTATTTTAGATATCATAAAACCTATACTGTCGATCTCTCACTGATATTAAGGAAATGTCGTAATATAATTCCACGAAAACAACTTCAATGTATCTCTTCTTACAAAAATGAGATATAATTTACGGGTATGTTGATTTTAGCGCTGTGAAATTACCTAGAAAAATAATTCCTATAACAGCTTTATCGGCGAATACAATTTACTCCCACGTTTGTGGTTTTAAATAAATTTTTGTACAATTATCGTAGAATACATCCATCAATGTTTCGTCTTCATGATTATCCTTTGGTACTTTCAAGACCCTCTTAAGAGAAAATTGATAATAAGAAGTGAAGGTCGATTACAAATAAATTGTTAAAATTGCTCAAGTGTATCTTACGTTTGTACGTAGATTGGTTT